CCAAATACCACTCAGTCCTATCTCTTAATGTTAACGGACTGAACTATTCAATTAAGCGACATAGACTGTCTAGTTGGATTAAAAAACAAGACCCTTCTATCTGCTGCCTGCAGGAGTCACATCTTGCCCGTAAAAACAAACACATTTTCAATGTTAAAGGCTGGAACAAAATCTACCAAGCAAACGTCTCTCATAAACAGGCGGGAGTTGCAATCCTAATATCAGATAAAATAGACTTCAAATTAAAATTCATGAGAAGAGATAAAGAAGGTCGCTACATACTAATTAAAGGATCTCTCCTTCAGGAGGATATTACAATTCTAAATATCTATTCGCCAAACAATGGAGCACCCAAATTTATCAAAGAAACACTACTTTCCCTCAAATCCCATATAGATCCAAAGACATTAATTGTTGGGGATTTTAACACACCACTCACCCCACTAGATAGATCAACTTGGCAAAAACTCAACAGAGAGACCGCAGATCTAAACAGCTGCATAGATGAACTAGACTTAACATACATCTACCGAACATTTCACCCAGCAGCATCAGAATACACGTTTTTCTCAGCAGCACATGGAACATTTTCTAAAATAGTCCACATATTAGGCCACAAAGCAAACTTGTCTAAGTTCAGAAACATTGAAGTTATACCTTGCATTCTCTCTGACCACAAGGGAATAAAACTAGAACTCAACACCAAAAGCCACCAAAGAAAGTCCGGCATCACATGGAGGCTGAACAACACACTGCTGAATCATGAGTGGGTCATGGAAGAGATTAGAAAGGAAATTCAAATGTTCATGCTATTCAACAAAAATGAACACACAAATTACCAGCTCCTCTGGGACACAGCAAAGGCAGTACTCAGAGGCAAGTTTATAGCTCTGAGCTCCTACATCAACAAATTGGAGAGATCTGAGACTGACAATTTAATGACACATCTAAACCTCGTTGAAAAAGAGCAGCAAGATAAACCCCAATCCAGTAGACGGAAAGAAATAATTAAAATTAAATCAGAATTAAATGAATTAGAATCCAAAAAAACTATAGAAAGAATCAACAAAACAAAGAGTTGGTTCTTCGAAAAACTTAACAAAATTGACAGACCCTTAGCAAATCTTATCAGAAAAAGAAGAGAACACACCCAAATTAATAAACTCAGAGATGAGAATGGAAACATCACCACAGAAACAACCAAGATTCAGAATATTATAAGGGAATACTTCTCAAAACTTTATGCTAATAAGTTTGAGAACTTGACAGAAATGGACCTCTTCCTAGCAAATATTGACATGCCAAAACTAAACCAAGATGAGTTAAACTATCTTAACAGGCCCATATGAAGCATTGAAATAGAAACAGCAATAAGAGACCTCCCAGCTAAGAAAAGTCCAGGACCAGATGGTTTTACAGCGGAATTCTACAAGGCCTTCAAAGCAGAGCTCACACCAATTCTCCTCCAACTCTTCAATGAAATTGAAAGAGAAAGCTCACTACCGAACACATTCTACGAAGCCATCATAACCCTCATCCCCAAACCAGGCAGGGACTCATCAAAGAAAGAGAACTATAGACCCATTCCTTGATGAACATTGATGCAAAACTTCTCAACAAAATTTTGGCCAACCGACTTCAACAATTCATCCAAAAAATCATGCACCACGATCACACAGGATTCATTTCAGGGATGCAAAGCTGGTTCAATATACGCAAATCAATTAATATTATTCATCACATCAACAGGAGCAAGAATAAGAACCACATGGTTATCTCAATAGATGCAGAAAAAGCATTCGACAAGATCCAACACCCCTTTATGATGAAGGTTTTGGAAAAATTAGGAATCCATGGAACATTCCTCAATACAATAAAGGCTGTATATGACAAATCTACAGCCAGCATTATACTTAATGGTGAAAAACTAAAGCCATTTCCTCTTAACTCAGGAACAAGACAAGGATGTCCACTCTCTCCGCTTCTCTTCAATCTAGTATTAGAATGTCTAGCTACAGCAATAAGACAAGATGCAGACATAAAGGGGATACAAATAGGGAAAGAAGAAATAAAACTCTCCCTCCAAGGACCTCTATGATGAAAACTTTAAAATCTTGAAAAAGGAAATCAACATAGAACTTAAAAAATGGCAAAACCTCCCATGCTCCTGGATTGGAAAGATTAACATCGTGAAAATGGCAATACTTCCCAAGGCTATCTACAAATTCAACGCAATACCTATCAAAATTCCACCTTCATTCTTCAAGGAAATAGAAGAGGCAATCCAAAAATTCATATGGTGGGCTAGGAAGGTGGCTCAGTGGTAGAGTGCTTGCCTTGCATGCATGAGGCCCTGGGTTCGATTCCTCAGCACCACATAAGCAAAAAGAAAAAAGCTGGAAGTGGCGCTGTGGCTCAAGTGGTAGAGTGCTAGCCTTGAGCTGAAGAGCTGAGGGACAGTGCCCAGGCCCAGAGTTCAGGCCCCACGACCGGACCCAAAAAAAAAAAAAAAAAAAAAAAAAAAAAAATTCATATGGAACAATAAAAGACCCCGAATAGCAAAAACGCTCCTCAACGGAAAGAACACTGCTGGAGGAATATCAATACCAAATTTCAAACTCTACTATAAAGCCATAGTAATCAAAACAGCCTGGTATTGGCATAAGAACAGACCTCAGGACCAATGGAATAGAATTGAAAACCCAGAAATGAACCCACAGACCTATCGGCATCTAATCTTCGATAAGGGAGCTAAAACAATAGAATGGAAGAAAGACAGCCTCTTCAGTAAATGGTGCTGGCAAAGTTGATTAACTACATGTAGAAAACTAAAGCTAGATCCTTATCTATCACCTTGTACCAGAATCAACTCCAAATGGATCAAAGACCTCGAAGTCAAAGCAGACACTCTGAAAACATTACAGGATGGAATAGGAGAAACCCTAGGTCTCCTTGGGTCAGGCTGAAATTTTCTGAATAGAGACCCGGAAACACAACAAATCAAAGAAAGGTTGGACAAATGGGATTGCATAAAGTTGCAGAGCTTCTGCATGGCAAACGACATAGCTAGCAAGATCAATAGAAAGCCCACAGATTGGGAGAAGATCTTTACTAGCCACACAACGGACAAGGGTCTCATATCTAAAATATACTTGGAACTCCAAAAATTAAATCCCCCAACAACAAATCCTCAAAGAAACAACTGCCCAATAAATAAGTGGGTGAAAGACTTAAAGAGAAACTTCTCTGAAGAAGAAAGAAGGATGGCCAATAGACACATGAAGAAATGTTCAACATCCCTAGCCATAAAAGAAATGCAAATCAAAGCAACATTGAGATACCACCTCACTCCAGTTAGAATGGCAAAAATCAAGAACTCTAACAACAACAGATGCTGGAGGGGATGTGGACAGAAGGGAACCTTACTTCATTGTTGGTGGGAATGTAAACTTCTTCAACCACTTTGGAAAGAAGTATGGAGGTTCCTCAAAAGACTTCACATAGAGCTCCCCTATGACCCAGCAATCCCACTTTTGGGCATTTACCCAAATGTTTACAAACAAGACCACACTAAAGCTACCAGCACAACTATGTTTATTGCAGCATTATTTACTATAGCTAAGATATGGAACCAACCCAGATGCCCTTCAGTAGATGAATGGATCAAGAAAATGTGGTATATATACACAATGGAATTCTATGCCTCCATCAGAAAGAATGACATTGCCCCATTTGTTAGGAAATGGAAAAACTTGGAAAAAATTATATTAAGTAAAGTAAGCCAGGCCCAAAGAAACATAGGTCCCATGGTTTCCCTTATTTGCAATATCTAGTATAGGTATGAGTCAAGCGGAAAAAGTCAGATAATGTGATGTTAGGAAAATGAATCCTTAGATAGGTATTTTAATGTTTTTTTTCTTTCATGCATGTGTTTCTTATGCATTTATAACTTTATTTCTTTGTTGCTTTGTATGTCCCTCCCCCACAATATAACCCCCTCTTTCAATATATTTGATGTCAGTATAACTTATGGAGGAGATGGGGAAAAACAAGTCATTTAAGGATTCAGGTGGACCTGTTGCAACAATGAGAAGTACAAATTGTGATGTCAAAAAGGAGCTTTACAATGTCGGTGGGGGGGACTGGGGGGGAAGGATTGGGTTGGGGGGGGAGGCTGGGAAGGGAGGTGAAGGGTAAACAAAGGAGGAGGCTGCAATGCTTGGTAAGAAATGTATGCATTATCTTGCCCATGTAATTGTAACCCCTCTGTACAGTATGTTCACAAATAAAATAAAATTAAAAAAATAATTATAATAAACAGTAATTTGAGAATACAATGAGAATATACAGAATTACAACAGAGCTCTGTAGCATGCATAAAATACAGATTAAATGCAACAGAATTTGCTATAGCATACTCAATACAATTGATACTTTTACCTTTCAAATGATGTAAGAACCTTATAATCAGATTTAAAATAGATTTTAAATCCAATGTCCTTATTTTTGATAGTTTCTTTAAAATAATTCTTTAGAGAAGCATTGGTGCAAAATAGACTAACCTACCAAACCAAGGCAAGCTAATGAGATAACCCATCTTCCAAACAAAAACAAATGGCTCCATGAACTCTCTTTGTGAGACATGTACTTAATTGTCCATCCTTATTACATTCTTATATTTTTATTCTACCCATCCAAGCCTCATTTGATTGGTTTTAACATTAGACAAATGTACTCAAAATCTGTCCAATGGCTTTATTCAACTTCAAAGTGGGTCACTCTTTTTCATATGTAAGTTTTATCTTATAGAAAAAATAAAGAGCCACAATAATGAAGCTAACCTGAATTTGTATCCTTTCTATGTCTCTATGGTGATTAGTAGGAAGCCAGTTTTAATAAGGTTACACTCAAACATTTCATCCATAAAACAGTATCTGGTCCCAAGAACCAATAGTAAACAGTATTAACAGTGTCTCCTATAATTTTTTAAAATTACATACCACTCCTGAGGTGGGAAATATATCATTAATACTTCCATCAGCTTCCCATGCTACAGTTATACGACCATAAGTTCCTTTTAAGCGTTCAATATTCAAGGTTACTAAGCTATCTTGTTCCAATTCTTCCACTTGCTTATATAACGAGTTCTGAAAAATACACCGGAAGACATAAGGGATTACTTGAAATTACCTATAAATAAATTCTTTATTTCATGTTATTGTTCATTCGCAAGCTTCACACTGCTAAAGAAGACCAAGACACATTGTATACATAAAGTGCTTTGTTAAATGTCAAAAAATTCAATATATATCCTTTAAAAAAATTAAGAAAAGTGGGTTGAGTGGGATGAGTGAGAATGTTCAAACAGGTGACATTGAACAAGATACACTGTATTTATGAACTGTTTTTAAAAGGACAACTCCTTTCTAAACTAGCTTTCTTTTCTCAGGACAAAGGCAATGTGCATTTTACATCTGTAATTGCAAAATGTATTACAGTTACCAGACGCTGTGCCTCCTCCACCCCACACTAACATAGTTGTATGACATGTGTGACACGACACAGTGTGCAATATAGTCACTATCTTTTTCACCATGGCCTTTGGGAAAAAAGCAAGAGCAAGGCCACTGAACACATTAAATACCCAATACTTTAAAACAATAGGGACAAAGACCAGGATAAGTTGTCCCTTAGAGTCAGTATGGTAAGAATGTATATTGCAGATTTCAGTAGAGTTCACAGTAGATGCACAATAGGAGGTGCACCAAGAAGAAGCAAAGGGAGAAAGATTGAAGATACTCAAAGTACGGCTCACTTACTGAGTTCTGATCAGAGCTTACTTGTAAATGCAGTAAGTTATTTTCACTTGTATATGTGGAATCTTCACTATTACCTGAGCAAATGCAACAACTCCATAAGCATCATCATTAGACAGGATAGTTATTGTCACATAACTATGAATGCCAATCTCTGCTCCTCCCTTGGGATTTTTAAGCTGAACTCTGAAGGATTCTTCTTCTTCTGGAATTACATCATCGAGGATATTTACTGCTATGGTAGCTTCTTTGTCACCAGGTTCAAATATCAGTTCACCTGAACTACCATAGGAAGTACAGATAAAATAAGTCAATGACAACAAACAAAATTATATGCAGAGTAGATTCCCCATGAAATTTTCACTACACTAAGCAGTAATAGTAAAAGTTTTATAGGAAGTATAATATTTCATAAATAAAAATTTTAAATTTTTGTGTAGTTCTGATAAACAGAATAGATTGTAGAAATACGAATGACCAGGTTTCTGGCTTACATATAGCTCTAGTATTTTTGTATTTTTCTTGGTCACTATGACTTAGAAATTTTATGTCAGACAAACTGAGATGAGCATAAAGACACTTAGTATGAAGTTGTTGAACCTACCTGGGAATAAAGTCAGACTGACTGGAAATATAGGCCAGTTCATATACATGAGAGTGCACAGCTCCTGCCATAGCAATTAAATTCTTGCTTGAATTAATAGACTTTACTACAACTGAAGCTGCATCATGGGCAGAGGGCACTTCCAGAACAAAAGTGAATTGATTCAACTCTGAATTCCAGCGGTAAAGGGCAGACCCTTCTTGGCCCATTAAAAGTATGTGGGCTGTAAGGAAGGAAAAAAAAGACAAGAAAAATGAAGTGCAAAATGCTACTACACACACTCCCTCCACTGGTGTCAAAGGAAGACTTCTACCATTCTCCAAGCTCTGTTTTGATTTCTAAAGTAAATTAATTCAATTTATGTGAATAAAATAATAATTTTGGAGTGCTGTAGAATAACCAGTCCAGCTTGATAATGTACCCACATCTATCTAAGAAAGAAGAAAACCACAGGATTAAAAAACACAAATGGATTTTGAATTCCTTGGTATACATCTTAGTACTAATTTAAAAGTAACTTTTACAAAGTGAAAAAATACCAATTATCTCACCAGTCAATATTTAATTTTTAAAATGTTCATCTCTAGTCATTATATTTATAAGTTTATAATGCACAAGTATAAAAAGATAACTACAAAAGTTCTTAACTATTATATGTATTCTATTACATAGTTTTGCATGTTATTACTGAAGTATTCAATTTTATAATTTTAATGCATATAATAGTCTAGTATTGCATATACATTAAATTAATATTAATATTTAATACATATTTAATAATTTTCTTGCATTAGACATTTATTGTTTAATATTTAATTTTTCAATATTAAGTAGAGGTAGAGTTCTCCCTATTGTTTTCTCTAGAAAAATTATTCAAGGTAGCTCATGAGATCAAAGGATATGTACAAAGAAAACATAGAATATATTCTTGCAGTATTTTTAAATATCAGGAAGTCATGTTTTTGCTAGTTCAAAGCAATGGCATATATATGTGCTTCAGAAGCTGGGAATATGTTGCATATAGTACTAAACAAACACACTTAGAATTGGGAGAGGGGTGAGAAAACATAAAGAAATATGCTTTTAGAGAAACACACTTGAATGCAAACATATCAAATCAGACCGATTAGGTACTAAAACAGCACACCAAATCAGAAAGTATGAATATCTTCTAAAATGCTAGCCCTTGGCCTATGTCATCCTTATTTACAACAATTAAGATTAACTGCAGTTTATCCAAATGTTGCATAAAGATCAAGATCATCTAGAATGGTCTTAATATATTCAAATCTTTAAAGGGATATATACTTTACAAATAGCTTCATAAAACATTCAAAAGTAACAAACTCAAATGCTTAACTGAGCTATAGTCTCAACCAAGATCATAAACTAGTGATCTGAACACTACTGATTATGCACCTGGCCCTTCAGAGATATACTCTGTTCACATCTTATTTTGATTGACATACTTTGGAAGCAAACTGATAAGTGAACATTTACAGTAATAATGTGGTGTCCTCAAATCTAAAGAGAGGTGCTTCTCCACTTATAGTGGCATTACATCCCACTAAATCTATCATAAGTAGAAAACATAAGAACAAATACATTTAGTATACTTCAGTTACTGAATATCACATCTTATTCTAGATTTACTTAAGTGTACTCAGCCTTCAATTTAAGCTAATTGGGCTACAATTGGGAAAAACTATCCAATCAGAAAAGTCTATCTCATACTTCAGTGTTGCCTATCTTAAATGTACTCTGCACAGAACCAGCTCTCAGAATTCACCCTCCTATCCGGTAGTAGCTGGAGTTGTGTTCCCATTGGTATCGTCTAAAACTGAAAAATACCACAAATCACTAGTCCAGGAAAAGGTAAAATACCAAACTGTTTTTAATGAATGTGTAACATTTTCATATTAATGTAAGTTCTAAACATTAAAAAATTCCTAAATCAAACTATGTAGGTAAAAGGAATATCCCCCCAAAATGTGGTCAAGATCAACAGAGTTCTAAAAGAATGCTGAAATAGGGGAAGTGAAGATGTTTAAGTCTTTCATTAAGATCTTTGAGAATACACTTCAAATGAATCATTCTGTGACAAAAGTAATCAAGTGTATCTAATTTCTCAGAGAATGGTGCGGAATCCCTGCTTGATGTGAAAACATCTGTAAGAGTAGCAGAATTAGACATCCAAGCATTCATGCCGTGGCATTCATTAATCATTTGACTTAACTGCTGTGCCCTCTGTGCACCTAGTTTAATGGTGATGATGACAGCTAATACTCAACACACTGCAGAGTTCTGATCAAGCTCTGAACATACATTAGCTTTGTGAATTCCTGCAAATCATTGTGAAGGTGTCATCTGATTGCATAAAGTCAGGATGGGGATAGACAGTTGACTGAAATACTTGTCTCAGATGCAGAATTGAATGGAAGCACCCCCTAACAATCCTTCCCAATCAAGATAAATAATACACCAATGCAACATTTCTTTACATCAAAATCGCGAGTGGCTCACGCCTGTAATCCTAGCTACTCAGGAGGCTGAGATATGAAGATCATGGTTCAAAGCCAGCCTGGGCAGGAAAGTCCATGAAACTCTTATCTCCAATAAACCACTAGAAAACCGGAAGTGGCACTGTGGCTCAAGCAGTATAATACTAGCCTTGAGCTGAAGAGCTCAGGGACAGAGCCAAGGCCCAGAGCTCAAGTCCCAGGACCAACCATAAACAAAAAGCAAAAACAAAAACAAAAAATTAACCTCATAGACGGTGTCTCCAAGCCCAGAATCATGATGTTCCAATCAGACCCTGTGTCCAGTACTCCTCTCTGCTAGGAGTGTCCTCGATGCTGCAATGCCCCCAAAGCCTTCCTCCTCTTCGGCCCCCTGACCAAAAAGTTTCCTGTCAATCCACCTAAACATACCTCAGGTTTCCTTCTTACACCTTCTACCCACTCCAAATCCACCTCTCACAAATCCACCTCTCACAAAGTAAACAGTACTGGTCTGAAGTCTTAAGTTATTATTTCTTTTCCCCTCCTCTAACCAGATACTAAGACTTCAATGGCAAGGAATTCCTCATATCTTCATAACAATGATTTGTGTGCAATATGTTAGTATTAACTGCATGCTGTTTTTCATTAAAATAGAACTGTCATGTGTCGATATAAAAAACATGACTGGATTCATCTCCTGAGTTGCCTTTAGGCTTGACTTTCTAGTCCTATGGGCACCTGAAAACATAATGACAGTTGACTATGTATCCCCTGACCTTTTACTGCAGACTCCCACATGAGAGGTAGCCTGACCAGTTCCCCATCCAACTGACCTCCGCTTTCTGCCTTATTGTCATTCTCTCCGCCCAAGTGACTCCTGATTAACCCTGAAATAATCCATAGGCTCTTACTAATATACTTTGCCTCAGAAACTGTATTAAAATATTGATTATTCATACTGTGAAAGTGATTGGGAGAATAAAAATGGCCAGTAGAGTTCTCACAGTCATCTGAGCTCTCAAAATTCATTAAGTGTAAAATTTTGCCATCACTTTATGCATATTTTCATATTTTAAATATGTAGTGTCACTCTTTACTCTTCTCTAGGTAAAAGAGATAAAATACTAGTTGGGCACTGGTAGCTCACACCTATGATCCTAACTATTCAGGAGGCTGAGTTTTGAGGATAGAGGTGACTCAATCAGTAGTCTTAACATGAAAACTAAGTAAGGAATGGAGCCTAGACCCTAAGTTCAAGCCTTTGTTCTGACATACATACAAAAATACTATCTTTGGCCTTCACTAATAGTTCCTTCTGGTTTGTTTTTTTTTTGTTGTTGTTGTTACTATTATTATTCTTAAACAAAACATCCATTTTATAAATACAAATTCTTTTGAAGCTTTATGATTTCTGGAAGGGTATTAAAACACAGCACCATATGAAATTTAGTGAGATTATATCCTTCTGGCTTTCCATACTGTCTTTAGGATTGGTTAGCTGAAAAATCCTTACCTATTCCTGAGGCTGGTATAAAGGAATGGATTCTTTCAACAGGAGAAAAATCCAAGAACTGAAAATGTCTGAACGAAGATTGTCCCATCTCCCAGATGAAAATATCAACTAAGTTCTGATATCCTAGATTAATGAAATAAAAATCAAATATTAAGTCATAAGTTGGAAAAAGAAAATTACAAATTTGGGCAGTAATACAAATGATTAAGTTTGAGGAACAAATACCTCCCAGAATCCATTTTCTTTCAACAAAAATACAACAGAGTTGGAAGTACTTCTAAATTTCTTTTGCATTTCCACATTAACTATATGCACTATTCTCCATTAACCAGGATTATATAGTATATAAAAATGAGGCTGAGCTTCACAATTGTAATCATAGTTGCTCAGAAGATTGCTTGGGCAGAAAATGTGGGAGAGTCCATCTCCAAAATAATCAGCAAAAGGCCAATTTGGCTGCATGACTCAAGAAGTAGAGTGTCAGCTGTGAGCAAGCAGGTACAGCAAACTTGAGGCCCTAAGTTCAAACCCCAATACCAGAAAAAAAAAACTGGGGCAAAATATTTCATTTTTATGAATGTCAGATTTTATCCATGAATGCAATAAGCAAAGAAGGCATAGTCCTACTCAGAATATTCTGAGCCAGTCTTATTAAAAATTTCTAAGTACTATTTATTAATACTATAAATTATCCACAATATCCCAAGTATACGCATATAGAAATTTAGCTGTTGTACTTTGCATATAAAAATCGTTGGAAATTTTCTCACTTTACATATCCACCCCCAGTTATAGTTTAACATAAATGTAATATGGTGGTTTGAAACATCATAGGATGAAAGGTATAATGTGTAAATTGTTCGAATCCATTTATAACTGACAGCAAATACCCAAGATACTGTCTAAACATGCTCAAAAAATTATAGGAGCCTTTCATATAAAACATGCAATCTAAATTATAGGTGACTTTGGTAATAACTCTATATTCTCACCTTCAAGGATATTTTTTGTAAAAACCAAGTAAACATCATCACCAGAAGACAAAGCCTCAACTTGTGCTGTCCCTTTGATGGACACCTCTTGGAAGTTAACAAACCCACTTCCAGACCACCTAAATAATGAGGCATTTAGACGAGCATTCGCTGGGGTGACGGCTAAGAACACCAAGCCACTTCTGCTGAACAAAGACATGGTCAGCACACCTCGGACAGGGAGTGTTTCATGAAAGGTAAAGTTTCTTCCATTCCATTTGAAGACCTGCAGGACATGTTCAAACACAGAATTATGATGACCTGGAATGTCACATCTGTGAGAATTTGACAAATGTCATGTGTTCACTCTCCTGGATCCTTTTGTTCTCTTAGGAAGATACTTTCATAAATGAGAATTTAACACAACAGATGCTCTTTGTGCATGTGTGTGTGTGTGTGTGTGTGTGTGTGTGTGATAAATGACCAACAATCTTTTTGGAAAATATATCTGCATCAATGGAGTGGGAAAGAGTGATCAAAGGCAGTCATTATATTCAATATACCGTATTTAAAAATTGACTATGTAACTTGAGCATAGGAATGGGAGGGGAAAAATGAGGAAGAACAGCAGAAAGGGTTGACATTAATCAGATGCACTGTATTCATAACCTGACTTATGGAATTGTAACCTCTTTGTACACTACTTAAACTAACAGTTTTTAAAAGGAAATAGATTTCCTTCAAATAAATATCAAATAAATATTTATTTGTATTATATCTAGGAAGATATCTAAGAAGAGAGAACTAAGTGAAGTGTGGAACTGAATAGAAAACTTTCAGATGCTGCTATGTTACTTTCAAAAGCTTGAAATAGAATGCATACTTTTTGTCATGGTGGTAAGGCATGCAAGATCTCAGTGTGTTTGTAGATTTACAATTAAAAGACAGTTTGTAATTTACCTCATTCCTTAAACAACCTGGTCACTTTCCCAAAAATTACACTCATTCAGTTAACAGTTAGGACCTCTGAGCTGAGCACAAAGGTAGGATACAGTAATCTCTTTTATGGATCCTACTAACTACTACAAAATATCTAAGAATAAGTATATGGACAACTGATATGATTTTAAGTTAAGAGTAGTTTAGTTTTGAAGATGACACAGAATGGAATGGCAAAAATATGGATGCATTAGGGAAATCAAGTTAGAAAGAATGAGAAGATAGTTTCTAAGACAGTCCGCATTGTAAACAAATGACACAAAAGCAAGCAAGTCTAACTGGAAAGAAGCTGGCAATGTTGAAAGAATGAGACTGGAAAGGCTAGATCATGAGATACCTTGCATTAATGTAATTGCTTCATTTGTCTTTCAAATAAAAACCCTTTTGAAAGTGAAATACCAACAGTACATAGCCATACTAGGTATACATACTAGGTATACATACATAGGCATAAGCCAGTACTGTTGTGAGCAAATGAAGAAATATGGTATTCCTACATAAGGTCATAGTAAATAATTTTGAAATTAATATATTGTTCTAAAATGGGACATAATCAACATTTTGAATAGATTTCCCCAGATACTCAACACGGAGTCTGAGAAGATGAGAGATGTTCAAAGACTATTTCTGAGAGTATTCCAACAGTGCAGCTGAGAAATGATGAAGCCAGGCTTTGGGAGAAGAAGCAGAAGTAGAGAGAAGTGTCTTCACTCAAAATGGGTGGAGACATTTGACTTTTCAAAAGTGTAATGATAAATTAGATGAGAGAGAGTAAAGAGGAATGACAAGAAGAGTATATCCTACAATTTTCTCCTGCTCAATTGCATTTCAGAGGGGCTAATTCCTAAGATAAAGGGCAAAAACTGGAACGTGCATTTCATAGAGAATATTAAATGTTCAGACTGAGATAAACTGAGGTAACTATTAAAACATAAAACCTTTTCAAGTGGGTTTGTCAACAGGCAGCTAAGTATGCAGGTCTGGATTACAGAAGAAGGGCTATGAATATAATCTGGAAGACATTGACCTAGAGCTGATAAGTACCATCACATTATCAGATAAATAAAATTACCCAGAGTAAATGAAGAGAGAAAAAGATAATTAAATGAAAGCAAAATTCTCAAAAAATAACCCACAGAGATATTTCAACTTAGAAAAGGGATGAACTCGCAATGCAGACTGAGAAGGCTAGCAGAGAAATGAAGGCAAATCTGTGTGAAAAGATTTTGACTTTGAGGATGAGGTGATGTCACATGCCAATCCATGGGAGATAATGCATAAAACCACATGACACATCCATTGCATTTGACAACTCAGTTGCCATCAGTGTAAATGAGATCAACAAAGGAGAAACTTCTTTCGGACATACCACAGAGGAGAAAAAACAAATGAAACAGAATCTAGATGGGAGACAAAATTCAGAAGAAGACAAATTCTTTCTTAAAACTGAGCAATCTGGTACAAGACAGTATGTTGAAAATGAACTTTACAACTTTGGTGGGGGGCAGTGGGCGAGGGGAGGGAGGAGTTGGGGAGGTAGGGAGGAAAGGGATGGTAGGAGAAAAATAAAGGAGGGTGTAACAATGCTTGATAGGAAATGGACTCATTACCTTGCTCATATAATTGTAATCCCTCTATATATCAGGTATATATATCTGTGGGAAAGCAGTACTGGGGATTTTTTTTTTGCATTCTAAAATACCAGATTTTTAATTTTTAAGTTAAACAATCCTTAAAAAGCCATTTAAAACAATGTGAAAATTCTTTTTAAAAATTTTTGGTAATGTCCAAACCTCATAACCTTTTGAATTTTAAACTTAAACTCACCCAATTGTTACAGCATGCTGACAATTCTTATCTTGAACATGTTCACAAACACATACAAAACACACACAGATACTAACATGTGTAAAAACCAAAATCAGTTGTACGTACATTTTCTAAAGTTTTTAAACAAAAAATGTAAGACAATTTCTCTTTTAAACTAAGTTCCTTTGTTAAGCTTCATTTTCCCAGGGCTTGCTTGTTTAGAAAGGCAATTCACCAATGGGTCTTTTGAATCCCTTCTGTTGGAGGAGGGCTGGGGTGATGGGGAGTCACCTGAAACTAAACTGGCCTGATTTTTTTTTAATCCACTTTTAGACAAGAGCACTTTACGAGTTGTTACATTGTCAGGACTAGCTGAAAAGTCCAAACCAGGCACACAGCCAGCAGCCTCCACAAGGAGAAAATGCAGCCTGAGGCTTGAAGGGAACCAAACTAGCCCAGCAACCTTCCATGCCTCACAGGGAGGGGGCATAGCAGATCTGTGCCCTGGCCCAGCCGGAGGCTGGAACTTTTATTCCCCCAGAGATGTTGAAACCTGCAGGTGTCTGTCTGGGCAGCAAAGGGTCTTGGTGGACGCACTATGAGGCTGTCGATGGGGGTCTGTGGGAGACGTCCCCGTTCCCCCATCTGAGTGGATTGTTGTCTGCTGGAGTTTTCCTCCAGCACCTGCTTGACTTTCCACACATGAACCAGAGTGGCCACACTTGAGTGGATTGTTGTCTGTTGGAGATTTTCTCCAGCATTTGCCTGACTTTCCACACTGCACAGCGCTTTCGTTTCGTGTTGTTTCTGTCTGTTGTAATTATATTTCTTTCTTTGTTTAATAAAACTGTCACTGACCACCTGCAAGTGGCACCAGTAAGATCTTAGCCTAGGGCCTTGGCCCAGGGGGTCTGAGCATGGGGAAGAACCTGTCAGTTTGAGGGGACAGCTGCAAAGGACTTCTTTCCCTTGCCCCAAGATGACTGGGAATTCTTCTGCCTTGGAAGGCCCCTGGGTCAACATTTGCAGAAATCTAAAAGAAAAAGCCTCTGGAGGTGAGTAGAGGGGGTTCGAGTCCCCTGGTAAGTGAATGGTGGTGAGATGTCGCCCCATTCACTGAGACCTGATTTTGTCTTTGTGGCCATTTGTCTGTCTTGTTTACTTCGGTGTGTTTTCTGTTCTGTTTCCTGAGGTAGGGAAGGTCTGAGTGAGATTGGCAGGCTCACTCAACAGACTCTGGATTCAGCATGCTGAGTGAAAACAACACAGAGTTCTGGTAGAGATAAACTGGGGACCCATTAGTCCCCAACTCAGCCTTTGGTTGTTGTCTTGTCTAGTTCTGTTTTAGAATTGGTACCAGTTTTAAATGTGGATCTTTGGGGATTTTTTTTAACTCAGGAATTCCTGCTTCTTGGGTAAGTACCCTATTATTTGAGCCACACTCCTAGCCATTTTTGGTTTAGTTATGTTTGAGAGTCTTGTGCTTTTTGCCAGGTCCAGTCTGGCCTATGATTTTTCCACTTATACCTTCTTTGTACCTGAAATTACACAGTACCATGCTCTGCTTGTTATTGGGGTGAGGGTCTCACTAACTTTTTGCCCAACATAGCCTCAAGCTGCGACCCTCCCAATCTCTACCTCTAAGTCACTGTGATTGCAGATATGAGGACAATTCTTGAACCTGCCAATTGTTAACAAGTTCATAAAGATGCAAATGTCAGTAATAGAGGGTATGAGTAAACATGAAAGAAAGGAAATGCATCCAAGTGAGAGGACTGGCTTCCACAACAGGCCCTATCCTCCACTGTGAGCAGAAGGAGTGAGACTAGGTTTCAACTGGTGTTTTGAATTTGGGGTTGGGGAAATGATTAGCTTCCCTATGGTAGCTTTATGTCAACAAGATTATTGGATTACAAATAAGAAGGTGAAAATAAGATGGTAGTCTGAGTGAGAAAACTCATTAAGTAAGCATTATTAGCAATCCACTACAGCATATGAAAGAAATATGAAGTTTCTTTGGTGGAACTGAGTTCTCACTTGCCAGTGTTAGTCACCAGTATCTAGTAATACCAGTTGTCTACTTACATAATATTTTTTCTGTAATGTTTTCCAACTCAATTAATTCTAAATTAAATGTACACATTTATTGTTATATTTTCTTTGGCTCTTGATGAAAATACAGTATTCCTCACTCTGCTGTTTAAAAATTAACTATGACCATACTTGAATTATACTTTTGCATTTTTAATAAAATCAAATTATGTCTGTGTTTACAAAGCAACATGGAGTATTTTAGAACTTTATTTTAAATGAATCAAACCTGAGTAAATTCAGAGTCGTCTTTTGGGCTTGCAATAATTAGGTAATCTTGAGTGTCTGAGGTAAAATGTCTCACTTGAGAGCTCCGTGGAATAATGATGGTTTGTACCTGCAATAAAGATAGAAGAGAAGAAATAAAATGATGACCTTAAGGAAAAGACTAGGCTCCTAGTGTTTGAAGAATTGTCCTGATCTGTGGATAAACCAAATTGTTCTTTGAAAAGGCGCAAATCTACCCCTGAGTTAAGATACCTTTCACCTTTACCTTGCATTCATAAACTGTTTTGCTGAGTGGTAACTCCTTTGTACAATTACTTAGAGGTAATAAAAATACAATTTTAAAACATTGAACAAACATTATCTTCAATTTGATTAATGTTACAAATCTGAGTTTCTTTTAGGCAATCTGAGGAAAAAAAATTGAGAGAGGAAGAGTGGACGAATGCAGTCTTAATAATTATTGTACATATATGAAAATGGAACCAGGAAATTTGAGGGCATGAGTGAGGTTGGGAGAGAATGATGGCAGAGGTAATATTGATCAAGATGCATTATACTAATGAATGGAAATTCCTTTGTATACCACTTAAAGATAATTTTTAAAAGGAAAAAAATATTGTTTTTACCAGAAATAACTTCAATTCAGCGGTGAATGCATATACACTGCTAGCAGAAGGTCTTTCTCCATTTCTTTCTTCATGAGTAACCACTATGTAGGGGGAAAGGCCAATGATAAAGGCCTCACAGCTTTCAGGATTTTCTATATTTAAATCCTAGAAATCAGAACAATAGTAATTCATGCTGTGTTCAAAATTTACCTGTACATTTTATTCTATGTATCATTTTGAAAAAGTGATATTAGGTGCCTCGTTAGCCTAGTAGGTAGCACGTCAGTCTCATAAAAAGATATTTACCACAACTGGAATAAAAATTCCTTGCCATCGGTAAACAGTCAGCGATGATTTTCGTAACATTATTCCATATGTCAAATCTTCTAACGTAAAGAAACACCAGCCAGAAGATGACTTGTTCAAAAAACTTTGAAATGTGGAAAAGACAGAATCCATTCCTCCTAAGAAACATGATTATTTATTAGTGTATTTCTCTTTCATAATTTATGTAATTTATTATTAAACAATGAGACTAGTGAGTTTATAACTACACATAAAAATCTTGCCATGGTGTGTGTGTGTGTGTGTGTGTGTGTGTGTGTGTGTGTGAGAGAGAGAGAGAGAGAGAGAGAGAGAGAGAGAGAGAGAGAGAGAGGCAGATAGGAGACATACTGAAACTGAGACAAGCTAGAAAATTTCAGAATAACTGAAAATATTAACTCATAAATAAGAAAAATACTAATACTATAAGTACATATAGACTTTTCCAGAGCCTTTTTTTTTTATAGGTCGTGGGGCCTGAACTCTGGGCCTGGGCACTGTCCCTCAGCTCTTCAGCTCAATGCTAGTGCTCTACCACTTGAGCCACAACGCCACTTCCAGCTTTTTCTGCTTATGTAGTGCTGAGAAATCGAACCCAGGGTTCATGCATGCAAGGCAAGCACTCTACCACTGAGCCAACTTTCCAGCTCTCCAAAGCCTATTTTAAAACAAATTCTGAATGTGGATTTAAAAGAAAAATATGTTAAACAAGTCAACTTTCATAAATGTGGTGAAAATATAACCAAGAAACTTAAAAATAATAAATGTTTTGCAGAAATATGCTGAATGCAGATTTTAGAACTTACACGGTATTTTGAAACTGCACCTTCTAATGGTTTCTCACTGTACATTTTACATTTTACACATTTTAACAATGATAATGAAAACATACAAATTTCAAATGACTGTCAAGGTTTTGTCAAATACCTATTACTTCTACATATCCTACACTCCTGTGTTACAATTAAAAGAGTGAAGAGAAAACTATCCTCTAATGAAGAACTACTGAAAATTCTATTATGAATTAATCATGACTACACCAAGGCTAATAGTATGATCATGATGCAACAAGAACAAGATTCAAGGTTGAAAACTAGGCTCCTTTTATGAAGGAAATGTTTGAACATACAAAAATGTCAGTCCAAGAATGCATAAAGTCAGTACTTATAGCATATCCATTATAGATTGTCTTTCCTAAAAATCCAACAAATGCTTGTTTTGTTAATTTTTAAACAAGTAATCAGACACTAGTAGCTCACGGCTGTAATCCTAGCTTCTCTGGTGGCTGAGGTCTTCAGATCACAAAACCAGCCCAGTCAGGAAAATCCATGAGATTCTTATCTCCAATTAATCACCAAAAAAAAAAAAAAAAGGAAGTGGTGGTGTGGCTCAAAGTGATAGAGAGCTGGCCTTGAGAGGAAAAAAAAAAAGGAAAGAAAAGAAAAAAGAAAAAATGTTCAAGGACAGTAATTATCCCCTGAGTCCAAAGACAGGCACCAAAAAAAGGAAGAAGAAAAAAGAGAAAAGAAGAAAGAAGGGAAACCATGGGAACTATGTTTCTTTGGGCCTGGCTTACTTCACTTAATATAAGTTTTTCCAAGTCCTTATTTGTAATAACTAGTATATGTCTGAGACAAGCAGAAACAGTCAGATAAGTTGATGTTAGGTGAAATGAACCCCAAGATAAGGATTCAAATGTGTTTTTCTTTCTTGTGATTGTTTCTAACATATTTATAAGATGATTTCTTTGTTGCTTTGTATGTCCCTCCCCCACTGTGTTTTTCTTTCTTGTGATTGTTTCTAACATATTTATAAGATGATTTCTTTGTTGCTTTGTATGTCCCTCCTCCACGGTATAACCCCTGCTTTTGCTGTATTTGATGTTGGTATAATTTGTGGAGGGGAAGGGAAAAAACAAATCGTTAAATAGAGATACAGGTGGACCCATTGAAACAATGAGATTTATAAGTCATTATGTCGAAAAACAAACTTTACAACTTTGGCCGGGGGTGGGAGAATGAGGGGGGTGGGAGATGGGAAGGGATGGGAAGGGGAAACAAAGGAGGAGGCAATAATGCTTGATAAAAAATGTACTCAGTACCTTGCCCATGTAATTGTAACCCTTCTGTACAGTATTTTCACAATTTAAAAAAAAAAAACGGAAAGAAAAGAAGACAGAAGGAAGATAAAAGAAGAAAGAAGGCAGAAAAAAGAGGAAAGAAGAAAGGAGGAGGAGAAGGAGAAGAAGAGGAAGAAGAAGAAGAGGAAGAGGAAGGAGAAGAGGAAGAGGAGGAGGAGGAGGAAGAAGGAAGAGGAGGAGGAGGAGGAGGAGGGCCATAACTCTCCCTTGCAAATCCTTAGTGATCCTGAAACATGACATTCTGTGCCATAATTCAAGAAGGCAAATGAAGAAGTGACTGGTAGTGTTTTAGAATCTACATTCATGCAAATACTTCCACAATGCAGACTCCAAATGATAGTAATAGAATGGAGTTGGAAAGCATTTACCCATCTCTCCAACCTGAACAACTAAAAACTGCTCTGAATCCAATGCCACATCACCACCTTCTTTGACTTTATTGTCCCAGCCAGGCATAATAGCATGAATTTTCAGCACCTGTTCCTTCACCTTCATTCATTATGATATTCACATCCAATCTTTCCCTACAAAAAGCACCTGATTTTTTCATTATAGCTTTCTGTAATCCTAACAGTAATGGTTATTCTTTAGATTCTCATCTTGTTGGTCTTCTACCCAGCAAATGCTCCAGATTGTCTCCTCCATTTTAATGCACTCTTCTGCTAGTGATTGCAATCCCATATTCTCCTGGGCTTCTCATCAGGTATTCCAAACCTACTTTGGAAGGTCATTATTCCATCCTCAGCATTCAATATGAGTCTTTTAAAAGTTTGGTCTAAGACCTCTTCTCTTTTCTATAACTGGTTGTAAATTTTCTTTCCATGTGTTTGAATAAAATGCATGCAAAAGATTTCCAAATATAAAATCAAACAAACAACTATTTAGGATTTGGATATGTGGATCAGGTGACAGAGTGCCAGCCAATGCGTGAAAGTGTCAGATACCTCATCCAAGCCTCAGTTAAGGAAAAAATTAAAAAAAGATAACCAAGCTTATTTTCCAGTAGAGACCTTAACATCTCAAAAACAACTCAAACTCAACATGTGTTAAAATACATTCATTTTTATTTCCACCACAAGAATAATATTTGCTTTTCTTTCTGAATTCCCTTTTTTTTTCCTGAATGACATGACCTCCACCCACTGTATAAGTTAGAAAATTAGGAGTTATTCCTGGCATTTCTTTGTCTACCTTAAAATCCAGTCCACCACTGGGTCTAAACTACCATCATTGTTGCCTTTTTCCTGTCTCTCCATGTCCTCTCTGCTCTTCTAACCAAACCATTGTTTGTATAGCACTATGGATAATATCACCAAAATGCAGAGATGATCATATGAAACAACCCCCCATCACCCATCATGCCCAAACTACCCAGAGACTTTCAATTAAACAAAGATAAAAGGTTAATACCTGTAATTCTTTGTTAACACATCAACATCAATCCTGTCCTTTATTTCTGTGCCCATTTTCCACTCTGGTTCTTCATTTAGAATCTGGCATTTTAGGCTTCGAGTCTGTTACCCTGACAATCTCCAACCCTTCAGCCCAGTTCTTTCCATGACGAATCTCTACTCATTGTTCAGCTTATTTCAAACACTGGCACCCCTGAGAAACACTTTCATATGTGTTGTTTTGTTTTTTTTTTAACATTGCCAGCTTTCCCTTTACAACATTTGTTCAAATTTACACTACACACTGATTTATACTGATTTATTCCTGGCAGCTTCTAAATGCTAAGCTCCAAGGGCTCCATTCCATGTTTAGTACATAATAGGTGCTTAATAACTACTCATCGATGCAATAATAGAATTAGCTATCTGTTCTCCATTTTCAATAGATTCATTCAATAAGATTCATGGAAATCACGAGAGTCTTATCCATGTGATAAATTAGTTTAAATGTTTTTCTCTTATAAGATTTTAAACATACTTGTTCCAAAGGCTGTCTCAGGTATTGTTTCCCACTGCACACTCACAGCTAAATCAATGCCATTGGCACGTGACACATTTAGGTATACGGTCCTGTTGGATTCTTCGACATCTATAGAGCTTGCTCTATAGAAACAAGAAACAAAGCAAAAAAGAGCATATTTTTATATATTTAACTGTACATAATATGGGTAGCATGTACTTGACCTAAATTTTCACTATCTGGGAATCCAAAAAGTTGATACATTGACTCTAGCACTCAAAAATATTCACTTATGTAGCTTTTTTTGATGCACAAATGCAACACTGAAACCATGGCCACAAAAATTAAGTAAAGAGGGGGCTGGGAAGGTGGCTCAGTAGTAGAGCACTTGCCTTGCATGCCTGAGGCCCTGGGTTTGATTCCTCAGCACCACATAAGCAAAAAGAAAAAAGCTGGAAGTGGCACTGTGGCTCAAGTGGTAGAGCGCTAGCCTTGAGCTGAAAAGCTGAGGGACAGTGCCCAGGCTCAGAGTTCAGGCCCCACGACCGGACCCAAAAAAAAAAAAAATTAAAGATCAGAAATTTCCCATTAGATGGAGAATAAATAGAAAGAGAAATAAATTTTATTCTTAAACTTCTCCACACATATATCCAATATCTGATAGAAAAATAAAGTGAGGAAATTCTTAGCATAATACTAAAACTAGAGGTCTTAAAATACTTTATGACAAAAATCTCATAAAATTGGACAGCTCCTAAAGGAAATTTTCAAGCTCCAAGATGTTAATAAACGTTTGAAGAGTTTGAAGAGTATGAAATGCAATAGGATCATACAAAACAACCCTCTTTGTGGCTAAACCACCCAGATTAAACCAGATAGAAAACTCACGTTTACAACAATAACAAAATATTATTTATATTATTTCTTGTTTTTTATTGGGATTAAAAACACAAAATAGTGAAGCTCTTTACCTATAAGTACCAGTTCCAAGAATATGAGAATTCTATTGACACCACTCTTTAGGATTTATTTAGGTTTTTATGCTCCTGTTACCAGGCCACTTATAATTTCTCTAAATTTAATCTTCTAGAGTTAAATTCAAACCCCACTTTTTAAATAAGGAGAACTGGTTATGATGCCACATGTTTGTAATTGCAGCAGGTGAAACTAGAGGATGTCTGTCCCAAGACTGGCTCAGCCAAATGTGGAAAAAAAATTTTAAGGAATGTATAAGGGCATGGCTCAAGTGGTAGAATGTTTACCTAGTAAGTTTAAGACCCTGGTTTCAGCCAGGTGCCGGTGGCTCACACCTGTAATCCTAGCTGTTCAAGAGGCTGAGATCTGAGGATCATGGTTCAAAGCCAGCCCAGAAGGAAAGTCCGTGAGACTCTTATCTCCAATAAACCACCAAAAAAACAGAAGTGGTTCTGTGGCTCAAGTGGTAGAGTACTAGGCTTCTCTGAAGAGCTGAGGGACAGTGCCCAGGCCCAGAGTTCAATCCCCATGACTTACCAAAAAGGAAAAAAAAAATAAAAGATCCTGATTTCAATCCTATGGCCAGCAAAAAAAACTAAACTAAAACAAAGAAAATACCAATTTCCTTGTACATTTTTAATCACAAAATATTCCCTTTCTAGTTTCAAAAAAGACAATTTCCTTATAAATAAACTCTACCTATTTCCAACGGCCAAGATGCTGAATAAGCCTAATGGGGCCTGGTTTTGTAAAACTGTGATCAGCGTTTGAACACGTGTCCCTAATTTAGCACCTCCAGTTGGATTAAACAAGGTGCAGACAAAATGTTCATCCATTTCTGGTTCCGTGTCTAATATGGCAGATATGTGTAGGGTCTGAAAACAAAAACAAAGGATTAAGTTAGTAGAAATACAACATTGTTCCAACACATACACAGAGAAATTCCTCAAACACTTTGACAACCAATAGTATTTTGAGAATAATCTTTTTTAATTTAATACTGCCCCCAATATGTTTTGGGGATTTTCAAAACTATGACAATTAACAAAAACACGTGCATTAAGAGATTCGGCCTTGCCTTGGCTGCATAACTCTATTATTCTCAATCTGGTTTAGGATTCAGTCTAGAAGCAGTGGTAGACATAGAAAGCACAAAATAGAAATAAAGTGTTCACCCACTGGAAAATGAATAAACAAACTATATCCTATTCAGTCAAAAGCAACCCAATTCAGCAATAAAAGAACCAATTACTGTATAGTGCAGCCATAGATATTTCAAGAATTGTATTGAATGAAGGAAGGCAACACAAAGAGTAGATACTATTTCATTCTATTTAAACAAATTTGAGAACCAGCAAAGTGAGTATTCAGTATTAAAAATTAGAAAATACTTTCCATGGAAGGCAAAGGGAGAATTTTCTAGACACTAGTAATGTTGAGTATCTTCATTTGAACACGTTACAGGTAGACAAACGTATTTTAAAGTCATTCATCTATATGCTTAAGATTAGTATATTTTACTGTTTATACTTCAAAACAAAAACAGGTAGAAAAGAATTCGGTGAGTTAAGAATTCTGCTTAACTCGAAAAGGTCAGATAAGTTGATGTTAGGGAAATGAACCCTAAAATATGTATTCAAATGTTTTTTTTTCTTTCATGCAATTGTTTCTAACGCATTTATAAGATTATTTCTTTGTTGTTTTGTATGTCCCTCCCCCACAGTATAACCCGTGCTTTCACTGTTAAAAAAAAAAAAGAATTCTGCTTAACTCTTATGAGCTAACATTTAGTATGCTTAATAAAACAGAAAGACCTTTCAATAAACTGAAAAAAAGAGACTTCAGGAAAAAACACAATAAACAATCATTTAAAATAGATAAATAAAAAATAGGAATAAAGCAACAGCAAATTCTTATTTCACTTCAAATTTTTTGGTCATGCCAAGACTTTTGAACAAATCAATAAAATGTTTTAAATTTCCAAAAATAAAAATAATCAAACATGAACATATGTTGAACTTTACAAAAGCACATCACTATGAAAATTATCTAATTATTTAACTTTAGGGCTAAGATGTAGCTCCAGTACCAGAGCACTCATGAAGCATACACAAGGTCCTGGGTTCAATCCCCAGAACTGCAAAAATGAACTGAAATAAACAAATTAATTATAAAGTTTAGTAGCAGAAAGAGAAAATTAGTGCATAGGAAAGAATTTTGGAAGGCAAACTTCTATGTACAGATTACATTCATAACAAATGTCAAATCCAGCATCTTTTCTCCAATAAATGACTCCCCTTCTCAAACAACTACATTTTGTTGAGAATGAACAAAACAAAAAGAAATGAATGGCTTGTAATGTTAGTTCTATGAATCAAAACTTTTTAAACAATGTAAAGTATTCCATTTGGATAGGCTTGAAATTTAAAATAGCAAAATATGTACTTTTATTTATACACATATTTCTCTACTGAGAACAAATTTTTCCTGTTATTCTCTTCTCTCTCTCTACACACACACACACACACTATATAACATAACAGCTCTTGACACACAGTTATTCATAAAAAATTTATCTCTCACCACTTAGAGGCATAAAAAGCTATAAAGAATATGCCACTAAGAAAATTATTTGTAAGTTGTAAAGACAATCTGTTCTCATTAAGTTCATACTCTACCTTGAATCGAACACCTTCCTCTAAAACAATAAAACCTCTGGAAGGAGTCAAATCTTTTGACTCTACTGAAGAATTGACATCTGTCACCATGAACTGAACTGTCACAGTTCCAAACAGTCCTTGGGCAGGTTCCCGGACAATGTACAGTACTGCAACACTTTCCTGCACGTGGACAGCTACTGGTTCTCTCAGGAAAAAGTGCTCACTGTTGTTAAAGGACACAACTCCAGGGCCATCGTCATTAGCAAGAATAGTGATTAAAGCTGCCAAAAAACCAACATGCAAGTGATAAATGAAGATAGAAGAGGTTATAAATGCTGAAACAAGGGTACAAATTTTATTAGAAATGGACAAGTCTAAGGTGGTCATTTTTAGAATATCACTCCTTTTGGTTTTTTTTTTTTTGGTCAGTCTTGGAGCTTGAACTCTGGGCCTAGGTGCTGTCCCTCAGCTCTTTAGCTCAAAGCAAGCGCTCTACCACTTGAGCCACAGTGCCACTTCCGCCTTTTTCTGCTTATGTAGTGCTGAGGAATCAAACGCAGGGCCTCATGCATGCAAGGCAAGCACTCTACCACTGAGCCACCTTCTCAGCCCTATCATTCCCTTTGTAAAAGGGAAATGTTTAAGGTCATTTAATGAATTTTCATGTTCATTCAAAATACTTTTTAATCTTGGAACAGAAGGCAGGTTTGTCAGCCTGATGAAAAGATACCTCTAATGAGTGAACACAAAATATCACATAATTCAAGCAGTGATATTTCCCACCGCCGAAACAGAATCAAAACAATGATACTTGTCATCATGACTTTATGGGAATGTTCTTGGCCATCAGCCAGGTAATTTGTGAAAGTGATGGAAACATCAGAACTGTCACTTTTCTAAATAAAATGCTTGTTTGCTAAGAAAATTTAACAGAACTATAATGAGTTAAAATAACCCAAAAGATTTCAAAGGCAAGAGCATTCTATTTACCCAACTAATAAAAATACTAATAGGAGCTCTAAAAACTAATACCAATAAGGACATACCACTTGTTCAGTCTACATTAAATCACTTAATTTGCACTATATCCCTGTAAGATTGATTATATTTTTATTCACATTTTATAGAGTATATGAGTAAAACACAGATAGGTACAATTAAAGAAATTCAAAAGCTAGAAAGCCAAGCACCTTGTCTGATTCCAAAGTCTAGCTCTTGTGAACAATGCTGTCATAAATTTTTGTTATGCATAAATATTTCTTATATATTGATTGACAGCATGTCCAACAATAGAAAATATATGCCATGGCATATTAGATATTTATACCTATATATATTTATACCCATAAAGAAAAGTGAAATCAGTCATTTGCAGGAAAGTGGATAGAACTGGAAGTCTTAGTGTTGAATATAATAAACTTCAAAAAGTCAAAAATCATGTTTTTGCTTATTTGTGAACCTTAAAAGATACATTTTTTCAAGGACATGTACTTATGAACAAATTATATATACTTATACATAGCGAGAGGAAGAGAGCATGAGTCTAACTATGGTACTGCTTAGAGTTTTGAGGGAAAGAGGAAAATAGAACTATGTAAAGTAAATCATTTTGAAATACACTGCAACATTCATTGTATGACGATGATAGGAGAAATCTCAGTGAAAATTGTAAATCAATAGGATTGAAGGACCATGAAAGAGAAAGCCATAGAGAGGATTACTCTGATTAAATGTAATATATCCATATCTGAAATATTATAGTGAAAACCCTTAGAACAATTAATATACATTAAAAATAAACAAATTACAGGAATATAAATAAAGCACCTTTAGTTAGGGGTTGAGTATGAATATTCAAAACAAGTTTTGTTGGGGAAATAAATAGGGTGGATAAATTAGTTTGCATATGTAAAAATAGAACAATGAAATGTGTTAAAATTGTTTTTCAAGTAGTAAGAGTAAAGGGGGATGATAGAGAAGGTAAATTTGATGGGGATACCTTGCATGAATGTGTGGAAATGTCACAGTGATACCCTCCTTGTTAATAAAAATTTGTTTTAAAAAAGCTAAAGAGTGCAAAACTAATGCACAAAGCCAGGAAGTCTGCTTAAGACTACATGTCCTTTAAAAAAATATAATTTTAAGTAGCTGTATGTAGGGGTTTCAATTCAACATGTCAGTTTGTGAATATAATGTATCTGAACCATGGTTCTATCTTGATACGTCAGCTTTTCTTTACAGAATTTAACCGTTAAACAGTTTTTATTCACAATAGGTAGTGCACTTAGAAATTAACATAAAAACAGAAGATCTATATGAAGATAATCACAAGGTGTGTAACTATAACAGGCACTGTCAGTGCTTCACTAAATCCCTTTGTCCCACTAGGGTCATTTGCAGAAGTTCCTATTCTCCTGTGGTCTCTCTCTCATCTGAGCACAGCATCACTCAGACAAGAGTCAGGCCAGAACTGCTGAAGGTGCTAGAGATGTTAACGTCCCTGCAATTAGTAATGGGAGGTAGTAAATAGATACCCAATTCCTTACTTTGCACGGCAGAGTTGCAGTGATCTGAGGATTACAGCACAACTAAGGCTCAATAGTTCACAGCAGTAATTCATTAGTGCACCTCCCCTCAGTTTTAAATAGATTAAAATATATTGCATATTGAAATGATTAATTATAGTGCTGGTTTACATCAGATAGTAGAAAAACTTTTACTCTTACATTGCACGTGAGCAATGAATAATAAATTCTTTTTTTTTTCTTTTTAGTCAGTCATGGGGCTTAAACTCTGGGCCTGGGCACTGTGCCTCAGCTCTTCAACTCAAGGCAAGCACTCTACCACTTGAGTCATAGTGCCACTTTTGGTTTTTTGGTGGTTTATTGGAGATAAGAGTCTCATGGGGAAGTGACACTGTGGCTCAGGTGGTAGAATGCTTGCCTTGAATTGAAGAGCTGAGGGACAGCACCCAGGCCCAGAGTTCAAGCCCCACGACCCACAAAAACAAAAACAAAAACAAAAGAGGTCTCATGGATGTCCCTGCCCAGGCTGGCTTTAAACCACAATCCTCAGATCTCAGCCTCCTGAATAGCTAGGATTACAGGTGTGAGCCACTGGCATCTGGCCAATCAATTCTTTTTATGTTAAATAAAACATATTTGCCAAATGAAATCAGAAGTGAGAAAACTAGAGAAAGTTATTTTATAATGCTTATTTGGAATAAACTTTAATTGAATTTAATAGATTAAATATACTTAATATTTTAAGTTTTTTAACTTTACAATGAAAGACATCATAATACATTTAAAAGATAAAAGACAGTATAGGAGAAATATTTACGTAAGTTGGCCCATTTCATCTAAAGCCACATGTCTTCAAACCCTTACATCAAATGAGCCAATAAATTACTTCTGTTTAAAACCATCTGAATTGAGTTTTCCATTGCTCATACATAAACAATTTCTTGACAACACATGGTATCCATTCCTCCATTCTCTATGCTCTACAGAAAATTAATCTCATCTCAATCATATACTTATTTGAATTTGAAACAATACCCTCAAACAAAGGTTTCTGATGGCTTAGAAATGTCAGTTTATTGGATCAATATACCAATTAAACTAAAGCCCATTCTGAGGTTATTCAAAATTCTTTTATGATTTTTACTCAAATCAGATGTTTTCACACAAAGAACAATAATTCAGAAATATAACAGTCAATGAACATAAAACCAAAAGAAGATTTAAGCCACTGGCAAAAAAGGGAGGTTGAAATGTTAGCCATCAACCAATTAGTCCTCTAAATCCATTGGCTTTTCTATCATCTGAAAGACAACAAAGTGACTTTGTGGGGGAGGTAGGGTGTTGTTGGGAACTGTACTGAAGATCTTGTGCATGCTAAGCTCAAGCTCTTTCACTGAGTTACTTCTTCCACTCTTTAAAATCACTTTTAAATAGGCCTTTTGAACCAAGATCATTATATTCATGAGGTTTTCCCTTTTATCATAACTCTTTACCTTTTTCTTAAGTAGTCAGCACAATACCTATGAAGGAGTGAAACAAGATACCTTTTAGCAACAATGTCAAATCACTCCAACTAAAAGATCTGGTGCTCATAATCTGTCTGAAGCATTTGTACCCCCTGTTCCGTGCAGAAATGCGGTGGCACTTCAATGACACAGTAAGGATGGCCTTTGTCACTCTTTCTATTGCTGAGCAGGAAACTAGAGCAGAACACAAAATCTAAAGGAAGGACATCGACAAATTGCATAAAGCTAATAATTAAGGATTTATTTATTTTTTTATCGGTCATGGGGCTTGAACTCTGGGCTTGGGCGCTATTCCTCACCTCTTCAGCTGAAGGCAAGCGCTCTACCGCTTGAGCCACAGCACCACCTCCAGTTTTCTAGTGATTTATTGGAGATAAGAGTCTCACAGAGTTTCTTGCCTGGGTTGGCTTTGAACCATGATCCTCAGATTTCAGCCTCCTGAGTAGCTAGGATTATAGGTGTGAGCCACTGGTGCCCAGCAGTTGAGGAACTTTTAATAGTATCATTAACATAACTTATGTTTTTGTTTTACACAAAGACACACACAGTCTAGATGCACTATTACACTGCCACAAAATGCTTAACTTAAATTTTTTTTAATGCTAAGTATCCAGAGTATAGGCCCTCATCACATTAGGGAAAGCAGCAGAGAAAGGGACCATGTGCAAAATCTAATAATTACCTATTGTATTCTCTCCCAGCTCTAGTCCAGGAGAAGGATTTGTTAATATCAACTGAAACTTTTCATCTCCCTCTGGAATGCCATCATCAAGAATCAAAATGTCAACTGTTTTAGACCTTTCTCTATCAGCAAAGTGAAGAATCTGGTCAAAAAGATAAAAGGAAACAGTAGAATGGTTAATATCTCTATGTTTTTTATGAAGTGTTTAGAAAGAAGTACAAAATAGCTGTGAAGGGAAAGAATACCTATCTTAGAGGGAATTTATTTCATTCATTTTAGTATGATATAGTATGAAGTTAATATATTTTTTAAGTAAAGCAATGGAGGTAAAGAAAAAAGCAAATATTTGGCTACAAAATAAAAGACATGGAAGTTTCTCAAGACTCCACATTGAGCTCCACTATGTCCCAGCAATCCCACTTTTGGACATTTACCCAAATGATCACAAACAAGACCACACTAAAGCTACCAGCACAACTATGTTTATTGCAGCATTATTTACCATAGCTAAGATATGGAACCAACCCAGATGCCCCTCAGTAGATGAATGGATCAAAAAATGTGACATATATATATATATATATATATATATATAAAGTCTATGCTTCCGTCAGAAAGAATGACACTGCCCCATTTGTTAGGAAATGGAAAGACTTGGAAAAAATTATATTAAGTGAAGTAAGCTAGGCCCAAAGAAACATAGGTCCCATGGTTTCCCTTATTTGCAATAACTAGTATAAGTCTAGGACAAGCAGAAAAGGTCAAAAGCTATGTACATATAACCATATAAGATAATGTTAAGCAAAAGATAGGGACACATGTGTTGTTTTTTTCTTGCTTGCTATTGTTTGTAATGTATTTATAATGTTCTATCTGATTTTTTTTGTTTCTTTGGTAGGTTCCTCCCCAACGGTGTAACCCTGTTATTACTGTATTTGATTCTGGTGCCCTGCATCTTGAATATACATTTTTCTAATTTGGGGAGGAAAAGGGAAAAAATAAAATGCTTAAATAGGGATACAGGTTGACTCATTGTAACAATGAGATGTATAAGACACTATGTTGAAAACAAACTTTACAACTTTGGGCTGGGGGGTTTGGGAGGGAGGGAGGAGTCGGGGAGGTGGGGAGGGAAGGGATGGTAGGGGAAAAAACAAAGGAGGGTGTAACAATGCTTGATAGGAAATGTACTCATTACCTTACTCATGTAACTGTAACCACTCTGTACAGTATCTTTACAATAAAAATATATATTAAAAAAATAGAAGACATGTAAAGACAAAATAAAAAGTATGTTGAAAACTTAAGGGGTTTCAATAAATTGAAAAAAAGAAATAAAAAGAATTAAAATATTCAAGATGCATAAGAAACATTTTGGTGAGGTCATCTAATGATAAATATTCCTTATATTCTATTCTCCCATAATTCTTGCCATAAAATAGTTATTGAATATAGAAATAATCTTTAGAATAATAGAAAAATTCAGTTCAAATGAGTAAATTAGTGTAAAAAATGATTCCTTCATATGGAAATATTTTATTTCAGAATGGAATAGTTAATATATTTGCTATTATTATTTATATAGGACTTAAATCACTATAATTCACAAGGACTAATGATTACAACTCCACCTGAAGTGTCCTCTGTGATACAAGTTGAGACCCACCATTGGAGTAAAGATGTAATCCAACCCCAGTTGAGCTTCTAAATTCTGGGCATATACGAACAAGGAGACTTGGCCAGAAGCCCCTCTGCCCCTCTGGGCTACCAGGGTTAGACTTCCATAGGTTTCACTGACTTCAAACCTACAATAAAGAGAATGCAGCCATTTTTCTCTTATAAAGTTAATTGTCTTGGTAGTAAAGAATCAGAAGCCCAGGAAAAGGCTCGCACCCAGTCACGGGCTTACCTGCTATGCTGCCATTCGATGATGCCTCGGGCGCCATCGTTAGCGTCAATAATAATTTGAGCAGTCAAACCCTCTGAGTCTGAAAAAAACATTATGAATATAAAGTTTTTTTAAAGGTTGTTGAAGGTAGAAATTAAAGGCATTCTATTTGAGATTAAATAATTCCTTATATAGTTACTGTTGACAGTATTCAAAAGATGCTTAAGAAAGTAAAGACAAATATAACACCCGAAAGAATACAATTTGCTCACAAGAGTCACTGATACTTTTTAGGCAAATAAGAACATTGTGAAACAATAAATCAGGGTGTGGATTTATTCTTGAGTTTAATAGTATTTGGCAAGTCTGCTGAAGATCACCATTTCAGGGAATGGAAAATGGAAAGTGAAGATGGAAAACAAGAGGAGAAAGTCAGAAAATGGTTCAGAGAAATATACAAGTATAAATATACAAGTATAATACAAATATACAAGTATAAATGAGAGACAAAGACAGAAACGGGGATACAAATCAGACAGGTGAGAAAAAGGGGTAAGGGTTGGAAGGGTTAACAAGAGCCTAATTAGAAAAGTAAACTACTATCTTTTTTATTTTTTATTCTGCCCATCAAATCCAGTAGGTTACTAATACCTTCTATTCAGTTTAAACTAAAGCTAACATTGTTGTTTTTGTTTTTGTTTGTTTTTGTTTTTGTATGGGGAGTTTATTTTGTGTCAGTCCTGGGGCTTGAATGCAGAGTTTAAGCACTATCCAAAAGCTGTTCTTTTTGTTTTTGTTTTGTGCTTAGGGCTGGTGCTCAACCATATGAGACACAGCTTCACTTATGGCATTAGGGTGGTTAATTGGAGATAAAAGTCTCACAGATTTTCCTACCTTCTAACTGTGATTCTCAGATCTAGGCCTCTTGAGTAGCTAGGATTACAGATGTGAGCCCCTGGTACCTAACTCTCATTAGTTTTTATGCAGCTATGATGATGATGATCATCATCATGATCATTATCATTATCGTTATTGTTGTCAGTCATGGGGCTTGAATTCAGGATCTGGGTACTGTCCCTGAGCTCTTTTGTTCAAGGCTAGTGCTCTGCCACTTTGAACCACAATGCCACTTCCAGTTTTCTGGTGGTTAATTGGAGAGAAGAGACTCACAGACTTTCCTGCCCAGGCCGGCTTTGAACCTCGATCCTCAGATCTCAGCCTCCTGAGTAGATAGGATTACAGGTGTGAGCCACCAGGGTCCGGCTTTATGCAGTTATTTTTAGTAGTTTGTCCTTTACCTTGGGCCTAGGTTACTTAAGACAACTGCCTCCATGGGAAAAAGCATAGGGAGTCTAATTCTTTCTTAACTGAAGACACCAGCACTCAGGATTTCTATTAGACTAGAGATTCTAAAAGCAGACTATGTCATCCAAGTGCTGTACCATTTCTTAGCTATCATTTGGGGGACGACATAAAGCTTCCTTTAGTCTCAACTTTATCAGTACAATGGAAAGATGTAAGAAATTAAGCTTGTACAAAGCATTAACAACAAATGAATTGGAGAACAGCCAATAAGACTGTAATATGAGTAAAACAGCAATAGGCAGTATTTTGTTAGGTTTTTTTAGCATAAATAATTGCCTTGTAATAATATTTGTACAAATGGCCTAGTCATTATAATCATCTATTCTTTTTTGCAAGAGTTAAGACTTGCCTAATAATAACATGTAGAAATAACAGATATTCATTCATTTCAGAGTTGTCACTCAGAGGGAACAGAGAATACTGTTCCAGATGGAACTATATGTGTCCTTGCATCTTCCTATCCCAGATTAGTTTCTCCTCAAGGCAACACACCTCCTTCCATTCAATGGGGCAGCAGGAAGGCCACTCTCTCCTTACTCATCACCACCCAACCACACCTAGAGGCTTCCAACACAATTTCCCAATACTAAATGTTCAAAGTGGAAATGGGAGATTGGGTTCAAACACAGGACTGCATCTTTTTTTTTTAGGGAAGCTACATAAATTTCTACCAGGTTCAAGTTTTACCTTTCAGTCTGTAATGCATTAACTGTGTCTTTTCTAAAAGCATGAAAAGAAAAAAGATCAAAGTCAAAGAAAGAACCCAAGCACAAACAAACACATAAATGAAAGATAGGCTTAACCTACTGGGAACTAACATAGCTTGGAGATCTAATGCAAATAGCTAAATTTTAAAAGAAAAATGTTGTAAGAAAAATATTTTCTAAAGAAATAACATTGCATTTTAAGCATTAAAATTTTGGTTATAAAATTGCTGTAAAATTTAAGAAGTATCATGCAATAATTTTAATGTCTTTAGATTGTTCTAGGAACAAAATTGCAATAGTAGTGACTAAATCTAAAAGCCTAATATTGTCAAATATTGTTGAGATTAATGAATGTCACAACAGTCACTTCTGATTACGAAACAAAATTACTTCTTTTGACGAGAGCAAAAAGAAACAAAAACCTACCATACCTAGTCTGGGAGGAAATGATGTTAAAGGAGTCATAATAAGTTCAACACAAGTTAAATTCACCAGGAAATATTCTTCTAGCTCGGATATATCATCCTGAAAAAAATTATACTAATTAAATTCCTTTTATCATGTTCTCCAAGGAATTCTCCTTCATATGTTATTTTTATATTACACATATGTGTGTTTAAATATACACATACAGTAGAAAATAAACAGAATAGAAAATATTTAAATTCCAAAAATTACCATACAAAATTAAACATATATCTGGTTGTAAGAAAAAGTTAAAGCAATGGAGACCACGTAACTATTATAATTTTTAACTAAGCCTAATATGAATAATAAGAAGAATGACACATGGAAACAATACAGCTGCAGACTCAATAATGTCTATCACCAAATTTTGTGAGTTTGGGTAGCAATTAAATCTGAAGAACCCAACTTAACCATGTTTATAATGAAGAAAGCAATAGCTACATTAGTATAGGCTTGTAATAATAATTTAAAGAATTCCTATGAGTACTTGGTCTAGAGAGAATGTTACTACTATTAATCACTAGTCAACATATTAATTCTGCTTTAAAAGCTCATATAACTAAGGAATCATGTACTTACATCCAGTTACATTAACAGAATAGACATTTCAAAGATGGTTTGCTTGCAAGTTTTGACAAATTCTGCTACATAATGTTGTCTTTTATATTATGGATTTTGAGTTCTTATCATATCACAATGGTCACAGTACTGTTATAATAATATATATAATTAAAATATTCCTTAATATTTTTATAAAACTAAAATGAGCCAAGGGGAGAATAAATTGTTTTCCAAATGGGATCTCAAACTAGAGTAATTAAAAATATTTTTCCAATTCTTATTACTCTTCTCTTTCCCAATTAAAAACCATCTGACCTTCTCCCCTACATATTAACTCTTTTCATGGACCTCTTAGAAGTACATGTAAGCAACTGAAACACTAAGTCCATTAAAACCCAAAACAATACAATGATTTCACAATAAGAAAACCATTCAAAAAGCAGTTTCATTCACTAGCAATTACATTACGTTTGATCATAGGTCCCTTATATGCCATCAACCACCTATGACTTTCCACCTTCTCTGATTGAACTGTGCAGTCCACAGTGATGTTGACCTATATGGATTTGCTGGCCTACTAAATTATCAAAACACTCTTTTGGGACCTCTTACAAGTACCATCTTCCCCAAGGAAAGTCTCTATCAGAAGATGTTTCTATCATAAAATGCACCGATGTCAGCATATGGAAACAAACAAACAAAAAACTACAAAACTCCTATGTGATTTGACAAAAAATATAATCATATAAAGAAATAAGCTTAACCAGCAGGAATATCAAACCAGAAAATGACTTCACATAGTTAGAAGCTATTGCAGGTTACAAAAACTTTATATTGAAGACAAAAACTTTATATTGAAGTTCTTTAGGAAGAACTAAAAATAAACATGTGATATTAGTCGTCATCACTTTAAATAAAATCTTAAAATGTCAATGTATGAGAAGTCTCTTACTAAGGGCTATAAATTTGCTTACAACCATTGATAGAATAGTCTACGATTTTCTACTTTCTTAGTGACTACTTTGGGTTTCATACAATGATGAGGAAATAACAGGAGTTTTACCTCAAGTATAGTAATGTTGATGGCTTTTGTTGTTTCTCCTTCTTCTAAAACCAGAAAGCCAACTACAGGGACAAAATCAACTTCTGGCTCTGCAAGGTTTCCTTCTGTTTGGTTCTTCAAACTCAGCATCCCAGGAACAGTGGCATATGTGACATTGACAGTTCCTAATACATTGGTTACACAAAATTTGATGATTATTTTAAGTTTTAAATTATGTCTCACTTTAAGCTCTTTTTCTGTCCTTTAGCACCTGCAGTAGCTTGTGCCATTGGCCCATTTTCCTCACCCCTTCCTATATTCCTGGCCTTCACCATCTGTGAAGGCTCAGCTATGTCCCTCTTTAGGCAAAGCTGACTCCTCACTGCTCAACTTGAAGTATGGCTATGTGACTTATTTTTGTTAATAGTATAATGATGATGTGCTAGTTCTTAGCCTGCACTTCAGCGGGTCTTGTGTGTTTTCACTTGCTTTCTTGTGCCTTGATATGTCCCCAAAGCAGAAAGAGAAATGTGGAAGAGCCAGGATGGACAAGCCCAGCCTGGTTAATGGGCACAGTGCCAGCTTATTGGCTACTGAGAGTCCAGGTCTTCATGTTACACACTTTTGTGAAACTAGATAATTCCTTTAAACTTTTCATACACAAAGGACATAATAAGTACTGTCCTGGATTAATAAATAATAATACTTATCCTTTCCTAATTTTTGTGAGCATCCTTTGAAGTAGAGTATTTTGAACACCCTGCCAAGAAACCCCATTCGTTGCATAGTAACGAACCTAGAGACCCAAACTCTCTGTTGACGAAAAGCTGGATTGTTACATTAGCCTCCTGTAGTAAAACAAATCTTGATGAAGGAGCAAAATTTAAAACTCCATGGGGTTCATCACTGGCTTCTACCGTCAAGACAGCAGCATATCCTTGAGTATCAAGCAGAGCAATCCCTGCTGGGGGAACTCCTAGAAAACCAGAGATCGTATTAGGAATTCTAATGGTGCATGACATTGCCTTGTAAACACTAGACTACAGCCCCACACACTGAAGCATGCTGTATACTGTAACCAGAACTGATAAAGGTTCTATTTTGCTCATTTCTCTAGTAGAAGACATCAAGCTGACAAAGAGTCCATATTTCACATTCACATACTGTCCTAGTGTTTTTGGATCTCACATTTCTGCTAGAACGACAGTATCTTAAGCATCTTATTTTTTAAACATTTTAGAATTTTAAATATTTAAAAATTGTCTAAAAGCTAAGTGCAAAAATGACAACTATTATTTGTTTTGGTTTTCTAAAAGTACTCAAAAGAAGTTCACAATTGAATGCTATATTACCTTGTGTCCTGACATCAAACAGAATAATTTGATATATTTCTTTCTCTTCAGGAATGTTGTCATCCAACAAATGGACAAATATTGTCTTATTCAATATTCCCTGTTTAAAACAGAAAAAAATCTATGCCTGTAGTATTGCTGAACAAAAGCAATCTGCTTTTGGGGGGGGGCATATAAATTGTGTTTGCAAACATATGTTCATTTAATAAGAGTTATTTAGTTAAAAATTCAATTAAATAACACACTTGACATGAGAAACAAGGTTTCAGGCAGACAAAAGCAAACCCTATAAGAAGATTCTGAATGCTGACCTGATTATTGTATATTTTATCCTATGAGCAAGGTGCCATTATTAAAAGTTTCAGACAAAGTAGTAAGTAACCAAGATCTGCTAAAATGGTGAATTGGAAACGGAGCAAGCAAAAAGAAAAAAACAAAATGCTTAAATAGGGATACAAGTTAACACATCATAACAATGATATGTACACAACACTATGTTGAAAACGAAGTTTACAACTTGGGTGGTCCGGGGCAGGGGGTGCGGAGTATAGTTGTGGAGGTGGGAGGGAAGGGATGGTAGGGGAAAAACAAAGGAGGAATCAACAATGCTTGATAGGAAATGTACTCATTACCTTGTTTATGTAACTGTAACCCCTCTGTACAGTATTTTTACAATAAAAAATGTACAAAAAAAAGAGAGATAGAACATGACAGTGTTGCCCAGATATGTTATTGAAATTCCATTGTAGCATGAAAGGCATTGGCTATACGGCTTGGCTCAAATGTAAAGGCAGTAAAAATGGAGAAAAAACAAGTCCACCATCAAAGAATTCATACCAACTGGGGATGAAAAAGCGATAATGACAATAAATACAACAGTGGTATAATTTTCTATCCCATTTCCTCAAAATACACTGTATCTTCTAAAAGGTGATAGTAAAACTTTTCTTTATAGTTTTACCTCAGGAAAGAAGAGTTGTCCAGTAAAGTTAGCAAAATTGAGTTCTATATTTTGTCCAATAATTTTCCAGTCAACAGTAACATTTCCTCGACCAGGAGGTGTTCTTATCACATGGAATTGCAACATTTCTCCTGCAAATACAATGTACAGTTTTGTAAGTACTTAATGGAAAAAATGAACTTAACATGTGAACTCAACAAAACCCACACCCCAAGCATGCAACCATTATGGCACCTTGCCCAAGATCATAATAGAACTATTCTGTTTTGAATTTCCTAGAAGCTTTATACATGCTTATTGTTTATTGTCACAATAATTCCATTCCTAAACACTATCAAGTTAGTAGAATTTTAGGAAATTCAATATGTAACAGTTACAAATGCACATGCTAAAATGAGAAACACAAACTTGTATCCACATCAAATCATGCACCAGAACATGAATGTTCTGTAGGTTAAAGAAATTTCCCTGTGGTCAAATGGAGTGTTCGCACAGAAAAAAAAAAATCTTCCTTTATTGCCCAAAGGACATAAAATCCTTACACTGTAATGCAATGTGATTTTACATAATGCATGCATAGAAATGCTTGCAAATACCTGAAAATCACATTTCTTTAGATTATAACTTACATATACCATCAATGATTTTGTTTTATAAAAAGAAATACAAAGGAAAAGTGTCAAATCTGCCCATCAATGTCCATAACATCACCAAAGTTTAGTTTTCCTCCCAGATAACAAAGAATTTTGGATGTTTTACATTCCTGCTTTTTATCCCCATTCAATACTTCATAAAATACTAAATACTATAAAATTTCAATAAACTATTAAGTGATGAGAGTAATCTCTTTCAAATAGATAACTGAGCTTGCAAAGAATTATGATTTGCAAAGATAATTGAGGGTTGTTGACAATACATTCAATTCACAGACACAAATTAAGGTACAGTTGATGAACAATATAAAACCGAAATTATTAGAGTAAAAGATAAATATAACATTTAAAAGGCTTTATAAAGAACAATCCAGAGATAAAAATTGAAATGTATGGATATTCATTGAAAAAAATTCCAAATAGCTATTTGGTACATAAGTAAAATCTTTAAAACTTTTCAGAAAAGGAATAGAAACAAAGATAATAAAATATGTGTAAAACCTTGCTCTAGTATTTTTTTCAAATTACATTTTCAAAAAATTTTAATAAACACTTATTTCTCTTTTTATTTTTGGCAGTGTTAGGGATCGAATAAGGCCTCAAATGCTAAGGAAGCATTCTGCCACTGAGCTATCTCCCAACCCATAAACTCCTGGTTCTAATGGAAATGTCTCAAATCAATATATGATGGAATGATTTACAGACTCTCTTAGCACTAGTTACAAACAAAAGCAAAGAAAACATGTGTTAAGAAAACCAAATGTAGGTCAAAAATCATCCATATTGAATGAAAACCCAGAATCACAATAATGATAAATTTATGGCTTCAAGATTAAACAAAGCTTTTGAAATAACACAATATTTTGGTGTGACAATGAAAATTAATTGTGGAGAGAAAGGTTACTTTAGGTATCAAATGACAAGCATTTTCCTAAGTACTAAACTGCCTTCCAGTATCGCTAAGGATGAAAGCCAAAGATGTGCTGTCAGCTCTCACAGTCTGACTACACGGCTGAGCAATCATCTCCAGGCAAAATCCACACAGCCCAGCAAAGAGGATGATGTACGCTATAACTAGGGCAGAAGATCTGTCCAACAGTAGCCAAATCTAGCCGAAAGCAGATAAAAACATCAATGAAAATGCATTTTAATAACTTTGAGTGTTTGACTCTTTCCCCAAACCAAGATTGTTTTCATAAAGATAAGTATCAACTATATTGCAAATTTTTAAAAAAGTTTAGTCAATTAACATATACAGAAGTAACAACTTTGGTGCGGGGGGGGGGGGGGGGGAGGACTGGGGGGGTGGGGGGAGGATGGGAAGGGATAGGAAGGGGAAACAAAGGAGGAGGCTACAATGCTTGATAAGAAATGTATTCATTATCTTGCCCATGTAATTGTAACCCCTCTGTACAGTATTTTCACAATAAAAAAAAAGAAGTAACCCCGTATTGTTCATAGTGGACATGTATCAGCCAAGCTGATTTGGATTTTACAAAAATAAAATTGTCTAAAATTATAAAAATATAAATGACTTGATGCACAGACTGTCAATATGAGCAGTTTGGAAGAATTAATTGTTTCCAATACTGTACTCCAACTTATGCATTTCTTAAAGATTTATAGTTACTGCTCAAATATTTCACTAAAACAGATTCATACTGTCCCTGAAAAGTGAAGTAAAATTAAATCTATCAGATATGATGTGGTGATTATGCTGCTGCAGAGATGAGTGGCAGAATGAAATGTTTAACAGATTTATACAAATGTGTTCACACAGTTTACAGCTGCAGCAAAACCCATCATCTCACATTTCTGAACTTTGTCTAATGCATCAAAAAATGTAGTATTTACCATGAGCATTTCTCTTTGTTTTAGGACAAAACAGATAAATTGAATTTTCCAAATTCAACACATTGCTAAACACTAAGGCAATTCTTCTGTGAATCAACAATGGATGCTCTAAAGGTACAAGTCCAGCATAGTCCACATTTTAAATTTAATTACACTTATCAGTCTCCAAAAATAAGGCTAAAAGCAGTGTTAACATTGTTGAAAGCCCACATATTTCCCTATGTAATTTTCATAGTAAGATAAAGTACACATCAAAACTGAATTATTGAGATATAACATGTTTTAGAAAAGAGTTAACTTAGGCCTTCAGATAATCTATTTTAAAAAATCAAAGGAAAGAAAAGTTGAAACTACCCTCATTTTCATTCAGAAAACATAAACTAGCTGATGGGCAATCATGTGTTTTCTCTCCAGCGACAAACGTATGCTCACAGAAGAATATGCAGATTTTAAAAGCAGATTTTTAAACAGTTGGAGCAGTTGTTTTCATTGCTAGTCCTTTGTCTTATTTGTACCTCCAGCAGATAGCTGTTGGAAACTGAGAAGAGCATAATACAGTTTTCAGGTGAAGTTCATCCACCCCAAAGAAAACATATATGTTGACCTAAGCAGGTTCTCGGAGATGCTGTGGTACCCAGTAGGCTAGCACTGACTTCTTCCACGGCTTTTAATTTACTACTTATCATCACCACCCAAACACTACCAGGAGGCACTTGTACAACATTAGTTGCCTTACAGTGAAAATACATTTAAACTCATGCTGGATATCCATATTCTTCTGTATTCTTTAAAAACAAAATTCCATCATATTATGAAGAGCAAGAGCCTATATAACACTAAGCACTTTCTTTAATGCTTTGTGGCCTCTGATCAAATATGCTCTTCATTCTACCAACATGTTGATAGATTCTCTTCTTTTACATTGTTTTCTGTCCTTAAGCTTCTTCAACATAAAAAAAACTCCAAAATACTCCCCTTGAATCTATATTCTACAATGTTTCTCCTTTCTTCTCTCATGGTCAAGAAGCAGTACTTCTCAAACAGTTGCCATGATAGACAAGGGCCTGCATGTTTTGTTTTATTTGTCTTAATCCATCCTACACTAACATTTTCATAAAGTCCCAAAAGTGGAATTACTACTTAAGTTAAAGCACAAAAAAATCATCCACCCATACAGAGTAGAAGCTGCTTTTGGATAATATAGTTGAATTGTCATAAACGTTTCTAAACAATTCTTGTTATAGACTCTCAGGAATTGGCCTGAGGACCACACTTTGAGGAGTACTCCCCACAGGCTGCTAAATTCTTCAGTTATCATCCTGTACTTGTCAGCCTCAATTCTCCTTGAGATACAGAATAGTGACTCTCTTGGTGCCTTCTCTACCCTAACATCTGATTCTGCAACATCTAATTCTAAACCATTCTACAACATCTAATTCTAAACCGTTCTACAACATCTAATTCTAAATCATTATTAAAAACAAAATGTTTAAGCCATAAAGAAAATGAGCTATAACAAACACAGTGACATAGGCAAATCCAATAAAATTGCAAGCTGAGGGGTCCACAGAAAGGAGATAGATAATGTTCAGTGAAGGGATAGCTTCCACAACTCAGCAACTAACTCTAGCTGTTAGAGCCTTAGTGCCTCCATATCTCAGCTTTGTTTTCTCATCTGTAAGTAGAGATCCAATTATGTGAGCCAAATTATTTCCATTTCTTAAATCTTCATGGTAAAACTATTTTTTTAAAAATACAAACTGTGTGGTGAAACCATCTATAAATAGTTTTTTATCTCCACAGCTTTTTACAATGTTTGAGCAAGTCATTCTTATGCATGGCATGAAGATATTACTCAAGATTTCAAGGACAGTATTAGATTTAAATGGACACTGTATGAGATTTTCCAACTTTGCACTCCTTTCATAAAAAGAAAAAAAGATACAATCTGTTACTTTTTTATTGCTACCACTAGTAACATATGCTACACTTGTCAAGAACTATGCTAAGTATTTTACATTTAGCTGCATGCTTACTCCTCACAAAGAAACCTGTGAAAGAAAAAATACTGTCATTTAATGGATGAGAAAGCTGAGGAACTCTAGTTTGACTAAAAATAAAATCACAGCAGTGAGATGACAAGTTAGAGCACAGGATTAATCAAGCAGTTTGTGCGATAGCCAGCCCTCTCCCAATCAAGTTCTATCTGGATGAAAACACACAGCTAAACAAGATAATTACAAGAAACAAATCAGAAGAATTAAACAGCTTGAAAAACAATGACATGGACAGAAAAAGAAAGGAATGTGTTCAGCAATAAAAGGAACCCACCTTCATGCCCTATGACAGACCTGGAAGCTGTCTGAAAGCTAACAATGCCTGCCACGTTGTCATTGGCCAGAATGTTCACTGTAATTGTGTCAGAGCTGGGCAAAATCCTGCTTCCACCTTCAGTGTGCACCAAACGAACAATGATGCTTTCATCATCTTCGGGCTCAGAATCATCTAAAATGGTTAAAGTTGCTGTCCTTTTTGTTTCACCTATTAAATAATAATAATAATGGAATTAAAAGCTAAAGCAACAAAATCATCAAGAGAATACAAAGGAAAAAGGACAAAATATTTTGTTTTTATAAGTAAAAATATTTGAGCCATTATAACAGTTTAGTACCACTTTAAGCAAATAGTGTACATTCACGATAGATATAGATATACACTGCAAAATTTCATCAATGTGGGCAAGATTGTAGACAAAGACTTTGAACTGTGAAAAAGTTCAAGACTGTGGAAAAGTTCAAGAATATAACTATGTAGAAAAAAACCATGGTAAGTGATATAAGACAGGCCCAAAGAAACATACATCCCATGGTTTCCCTTATTTGCAATAACTAGTATATGTCTGAGACAAGCAGGAAAGGTCAAAAGATATGTACATATGACCAGATAAGATAATGTTCAGTGAAATGAACCCAAGATAGGGACACAGTGTTTTTTTCTTGCTTGCTATTGTTTTTAACATATTTAAAATGTACTATGTGATTTTTTTTGTTTCTCTTGTATGTTCTTCTACGGTATAACCCTCTCTCTTTTCATTGTATTTGATTCCGGTGCCCTGCATCTTGTATATACATTTTTCTAATTTGGGGAGGGGAAAGGAAATAACAAAATGCTGAAATAAGGATACAGGTTGACCCATTGTAACAATGAGATGTACAAGACATTATGTTGCAAACAAACTTTACAACTTGGGGGGGGGAGAGAGGAATTGGGGAGGTGGGGAGGGAAGGGATGGTAGGGGAAAAACAAAGGAGGAGGTAACAATGCTTGATAGGAAATGCACTCATTACCTTACTTATGTAACTGTAACCCCTCTGTTACAGTATTTTTACAATAAAAAATATTTTTTAAAAAAAACAACATGGTTTAACATTTTTGTTCTTTAGTCAAGAACATTGATCTACCTGAGCAAAATGTAGAAAGCAGATTGTTTAGAAATAATTCCCTTAAAGAGAATGGTAACTCAATTTCATTTTGGCTTTGTGATGCATATTTTAATCACATTTTTCAATCCAACACCTCCCTGAAAGGGTAAGAGTATTCGGGGAATGGTGGTGAAATGGGGAACTAGAAATGACAAAAGCCGGGCAGAGATGGCTCATACCTGTAATCCTAGCTACACAGGTGTCTGAGATCTGAGGATCCCGGTTCAAAGACAACATGGGAAGGAAAATCCCTGAGACTCCTATCTCCAATAAACCACTCAGAAAACCAAAAGTGGCACAGTGGCTCAAGTGGTAGACTGCTAGCCTTGAGCTGAAGAGCTGAGGGACAGCGTTCAGGCCCAGAGTTCAAGCCCCATGACCGACAAAAAATAAAAATAAATAAATGATGAATGTGTGCATAACCAGATAAGACTGCACTCAGTGCCAGGCTCCAGGATGTGAGAGCAAAAAGAAAGGAGGAAGACAAAGAATTCAAAGAGCAGCAAAAAGGACCAAGCAATCAACTTTGTAGTTGTCTCTAGGAACCCATTTGTAAGGTGACAATAATTCATCCACTCAATAGTATTTTTTAAAAACTTACAAAAAAAATATCTGGGTACCACTGTCTCAGTCTGTAATCCAAGCTACTCTAGAGATGGAGATCTAAGGATCATAATTCAAAGGCAGTCCAGGCAAGAAAGTTAATGAAACTCTTATCTCCTGGGCATGGTTCTTGAGCTCTTTTTGCTCAAGGCTAGCACTTTACCACTTTGAACCACAGAGCCACTCTGGTTTTCTGGTGGTTAATTAGAGATAAGAGTCTCATTTACTTCTCTGCCTGTACTGGCTTTGACCTGAGATCCTCAGATCTCAGCCTCCTGAATAGCTAGATTTATAGGAGTTAGGCAGGCACCACTGGGATGCAAGGTAGTAGTAATTTTATAATGCTATTATTTTATAAGATAATTTTCTTTGCAGTTATCAAGACCACTGGAAACATAACCATTATCTCTCTCTTTAACACATTTTCATTATTTCATCTGAAGCAGAAAGAAATGGCACCAAATTACTGACTATATCTTTCCATCAAGCAGAACATTGACCACTCTCACTCTTCTCCAAATCATTTACCAGTAAATAACCATTATAGAAATATTTTTAAAATTGAGTTAATTTTTTTCATTTTCTTTTTTTCAATAAGTTTTTTATTGTGAAAATACTGTACAGAGGGGTCACAGTTCCATGAGCAAGGTAATGAGTACATTTCTTACCAAGCATTGTTGCCTCCTTTGTTTTTCCCCTACCATCCCTTCCTTCCCACCTCCTTGTAAAGTTTGTCGATATAGCATCTTGTACGTCTCATTTTTTAAAGTAATTCTCAAACATGTTTTCAAAAGTATACTGTGTATATATCATGACTGAAACTTAAGTTGCCAAAAAAGGTGTATGTATTAAAAGTGAAGTAACAGTCCTGGTGGCTCATGCCTGTAATCCTAGCTACTCAGGAGGCTAAGATCTGAGGATCGCATTTCAAAGCCAGCCTGGGCAGAAAAGTCTGTCAGACTTTTTTCTCCAATTAACTACCAAAAAAAAAAAAGCTGAAAGTGGAGCTGTGGCTCAAGTGGTAGAACACTAGCCTTGAGCAAAAGAAGTTCAGTGACAATAATCAGGACCTGAGTTCAAGTCCCCGGACCAGAGGGAAATAAAGAATATACACAGTAGGAATTCTTACGGACATTAACATAAACGTTGACTATAACATCTCTACCAGGTAAGACCCATTTAGATCCATGACTCACCTTCAGCAAAAGTTAGGAATTCTCCAGCACCTATGAAATCTAAGCCTTCAGTAGCTGTTCCCCCAACCACACGCCATTCAACTGTCACCTGGCCTAAGCTGCCCCCGGTTCTGTGGATCACAAACTCCACAGAGGTTTGTGGCTGTTCCTGCACTTCAACAAAGAAGCCATCTTCTGAGGTGTTAGGACTGATGCTGTAGATAACAAACACTCCGAAGGCATCGCCATTTAGGGCTATGACAACTGCAGAAGTATTTGGCTGTCCAATGGTTGGCTGGTTTTTAAAACTGGCTGTGGTATTGATGAGGTGAACTTCAAGAAGAGAAATTAGGAAGCTCTCATCCATCTCTGGAAAATCATCAGGAAGAATAGAAACTGTGAGGTTTGCAAATTCATCACCCTCCAGCATGATGGCCCACTGCCTTGTCATAGGCTCGTAGTCAGTACCAGCCACCGCCTGACCACTGAAAAGAGATGCTACCCTGCTCATGTTTTTCTTGTAGGTCCAGAAGTCTGAATTGTTGACAGTTAGACTGACCCATGATGTCATCCAAAAACACTGGGGACCCTCAGAAGCACTGGAAAATGAAAATGCTAAGCAAGCATGCTCTCTGAGGCACAAAGTTGCACAGGTATCCTGGGGTTTCCCCGGGGCTGAGATGTTCACCCAAGTTCTCCAGAGCAGGTCAGGCACCCCTTGAGTTGGTGACTCATAATAGGATAGTAAATCTTGACCTTCCTCAACTGCAAGAGCCACTACATCAATATCAGAAGTACTGTAGAAGAGCAACAGCCGACCAAAGTGCCCACCACTAAAAGATGGAGGACAATTAAAGACAGGTTAAGAGTGGCATATGGATTACACACAGAGAAGAGCAATGCTAACTGTAGTTCTCACTCTTTCTCCTGTTTACTCATTCAAGCACAGTTATATTCCCTAAGCATTTCTCTTTTCACATTTTATTTTCTCACATAAGGAAATCTTCCTAGTGTTCAGTGAAATAAATCTTATTTTTAATCAAGCTATGAAAATATTTTAGAAGGCACACAATTGGCATCCACTTTACAATTTCCAGGCAGAGTTGCAAATTTTAATTTTTACTACTAGCATCCACTGAAATGAAGTTAATAATAAGAGCATGAATACATTTTGAGAAAACATCATTTCTTGTCCAAAGATCTCTCAAACCTATGTATTCTGTTTCTGACAGACCTCAATGGACACTGTGCCAACTCACCAAAGAAATACCGGAAGAAAAGAAACCCCATATCTACCCCAGATATGTTTTAATCAGTTGGAAGTTAGTTATTTAAGTTTTTGTTCTAATAGGCCACAGATTAAGTCAATACATTTCTAAGACTGAAAACACAGTGGTGTATCATCTATGACCTATCTCACTAACAACTGAGACAATGAATATTATGGGGTCTTTCTATCAATAGATATGCTTCCATTGACATAATAAACTATCATAGAAGTTACAATATAGAAAACTCATCAAACCTCAATTATCTCACTGTAGATGAATCCTTTCCCACCACCACCCATTACCACATGGGTGCAAGCAGCGATCTCATATACCTTCGCCTGACAGTTATGTTAGCACGGGAACTTCTCTCCAGAGGCTCTTGAATACGATAAACCGGCTGAACAAAGGCTACTGTACCATATGGATTATCATTGGCAGGAATAACAATGCTTGCCACTCGATACAACCCAATAGTACCTCCACCAGAGGCATCAGTGAGCTGCACTTGAATAACCTAAAAATACAGTGAAAACTTCTTAACAGCATCCTAGTTCTGAAATTAGAGTAAGATTGATGCAGGGGAAACAAATCAAAACATATCTATACAAATACAAGAGCAAAATGGAGTAAACAATGCATGAATACCATGTTTATTAATAGATATATAATGATATGCTATCATCAACTTCTAATAATAAAGCATAATACACAACAAATATAGGCTATTCAAATCATGTAATATTTAATTATATAATCATGTGTAACCATTTTAAGATCTGTTTATGTTTATCATTACAGTAACTTAACTTTTATGGCCTAAACAATTTTTTATTTGAAAAAAACATTGCATATGCATTTTCGTGGAAAGTTAATCTATTATGTTTGATTTCAGACTTTATGCTAATAGAAATTCTCTGACAAAAGTGAAAAGAAGAATCATGTTGACATCTGAATTTTTAAAGAAAGATAAAGAAATATATGTGATGCACTGCATTCATAAACTGATTTGTTGAATGGCAATTCCTTTGTACAGCTACCTAAAGAAAATAAGACTACTCAAAAATTTATGTATTCATGAATCACTATTTTAGCAGAGAATAATGATACAATTAGGACTCAAAAGAAATTGTATGGACTTCTCATCTATAAAAAGATGACACTATTAAAGAGTAAGTGTCATTACAAGGAAATTAAGTTGACAACTAGGCTTTCATAATACTTGGGCTTCATAAAATAAAGCTGGCTTCAGCCAATATGTCAGTATTGGATCCCAATGGAGCTCTACTTTTCCATGCCACATTATTTCTTTTTCCTAAAAAAAAATATCTGGAAAATGCATCTAGTATGCTTTTCATATGGTAAATTCTCAATAATGGTTGAAAAAGGAATAATTAAGAAGTAAAAATTATACTTAATTAAAATTGGTTCATACTTAAGACAAGTGGAGTATGGATCCAAATGAAGAGCTTATATGAATTACTGTTGGGGAAAATGTGATCAAAGTATATTATCTGCATGTATAGAAATATCAGAATGAAAATTCCTATCTTGTACAATCAATAAGAAAATGTGAGTATGAGCTTATATGAAACAAATATAGCAAAGTTAACTGTAACTGCAATACAATTTATCATGTAATCATGTTGAAAAATACAATTGTATTAAAAAGCTTATGCAAGTAAGTTGGTATATATTCACAATCTATTTCTAGACTATCCCTGCTTTTTTATTTGTAAGGATGACATCATGCTAGCATACTTTGGGCATTCTTACAGCAATAATTGTCACAGAAAGTCATCTATTCTAGTCATTATAAGACAAGGCACATATTTATAGTGTCATTCTATGCTAGCCAGTCCTCTCACCTCTTCAATCTCCGGAACGTCGTCAGCCAGGACCTCTAACAACAAGGTTTGAATGGTTTCCCCAGGGGCAAAGGTCACATTACCTGAGACAACTCGCAGGTCGCCAGTAGCAAGCTGTCCATTAATGGTGGCAACCCACTGAACAGTAACATTGCCGAGTGTCCCAGAATTTCGAATTATTGGCAGGTTTACCTTCACTGAGTTAAACTCAGATTCCTCTACAATAAGTTTAGTAATCTGAAATTCTGAAGGGCAGACAGAAAGGAATTGACTTCAGATACAAAGTAAAAGTGAAGCAACACAGAACTAATTAAGCATCTAAGTGACCATGCCACATGAAATCAGACTACTGGGCAGTACACACGTCAGCAGAGCCTGTTAAAATTCTCAAATTGGTTTTCACTGTGATAAAAGCACAGGCATAAACTCAGATGAACACAGGAGGCTTAAGTATATGTCAGGCATGAGTGAAATTATCCAATGATCCTTGTGGTAAATCTCACAAGACCAGCTTTTGTCTACAGGATTCTTAATGTTGTTCAATATTTAACTGATAATACACAAGAAAAGAGAGTTCAATTTTAACATATTTTCCTATTTATTCAGAAAGCCAGGCCTGAAAAAAATATATTTTTAAGAATTACCCCAAATTCACAAAACCTATTTAGAAGCCAGATCTGGCTCAAAAGTCAGGGGTTTGTGATTTTCATATCTATGATTTGTTCTATTTTTTAAATACCCATAACCACTGCCAGTTACTCTATGTAGCATGTCTTATATATCAGTAACATCACAATAAACAAGAACACTCGATCAAATCAACTCTGAATTTCTAATTTTTTTTAAAAAGGTCATTGTGTATGACTTTCAACAAACAAATAAAAGACACAAACTAGTCTGATTACCAAACAGTCCGTAGGGGTCATCAGAAGCCTCAATAATAATCACTGCTTCTGTTACAGCCCCTAGCTTGGCTCCTCCTGTTGTTTCCTTTAGCAGTTGCACGAGAAAAGTTTCTTCCAGCTCAGGGTAGATGTCATTAATGATATAAATTGGCACAGCTTTACTGGTCTCCCCTTCTAACAAGACCACATCTGAAGAAGCTATACTATAATCTTCACCTTCAAGGAGAAAAGGTTAAGGATTATTATTCTGAAATATGATATGCATTTCATAAACATTGTTAAGTATCAAACCATACGGATACACTTGGGCAGATTTTTGGAGAGTATTAACTCTATTCATCATAAACAAGATATTTACTTCTCAAGCTAGGAAAACACGAGTTTAATAAAATAATATGATAATGTAAGAGTGCTCAAGTTCATAAAAATGAACTTTCTTTTTTTTTTTTTAAAATGAACTTTCAAAAAAAAATGAACACACAGAGAAAGAAAGAGGGAAAGTTTCATTGCCATAAGATTGCTCCTTACCTAAAAAAAAAACCAAAAAACAAATATGGGCACAATACTGTTAGAAAAAGGAACAGAATTCTAACTTCCTTTCTACAGATATGGCACACAAGCATCAGTGATGCAGGCAGCATGATAAAATTTCCTACAAAGTTGTGGAGTGCTGTTCAGGATAGCAGGGCTGTTTCTGGTCAGGCAGTGGATAGGGAAAGAAGGAATGCTTCTATGGACCTCCACCGCACCTGTCAGTATATGAGGTATCCCGGAGCATTCTGGGAATCAATCATCCTAAATGTGAACACATACCACTTAGGAACAAGATGAGTCTGGTTTATTGTCTTTTTAAAAAGAATCATATCCAGATAATTTATTTAAGTAAAAACCAGCCATGATATCCAATCTGTTCTTGTTCAGGTTCCTCTGAATGGGGCCTAAAACATTCTACTTGAATTTATTTTTGAAAAAAAAAGCATGCTCTAAATGAGATAACTTGACTACTACTGAAGGGAGTCTCCTAAAGTTTACTTTTGGCAATATGATCATTTTGCTTATACATAAAATAGTTACTGCTAGCCACTGACTCATCCACAATCTTCATAGATAAAGCAACACACAAAATAAAGGAATCTAGCAACAATGCTCTTCAAAAGCATCATGAACTCAATGGGCTGATCATTTTATGACATTCCTCAGTTGTCACTCACACAGGAGTGAGTTTAAAAAACAGAGTAAGTGCAGAAAAAGCTGATGCTAGCTTTAATTTTCTTTCCATTGTTTCATGCATAGTTTTGTCATCACAGCTTTTAATGTATATGCTGTTTACCATCAGCTGTCACAAATTCTACAAATTTACTACCACAATATATATATGAATTCTATATTTGGATCTGAAAAGATATGAGTATTGTTGTTTTCTACTAGGATTTTCGAATTACATCTTTGAGTGAGTTTACTGATCAAAGACACATGTCCCTCTACAACATTTCACTCCTCCCTTGTCAACTATTCCTACCAGCAATTGAAGTTATTGGCACAGCTTTGAACTTCACAGAAACATCTGCAAAGGCTCCTCCTGTTCTAGTCACATTGACAATGGGTCCAATGTGATTTTCTGCCACATGAACAAGAGGTGCTGAGAGCTGAAGAGTTCCAAACGCATCATCATTGGCAATGATAATTACATGGGCTATGGTTTCTGCTTTGGGACCAAGACGAGGAGAATCTTGAACTGAAAGATAAAAGAAAAACTAAGGTATCAGAATTTTATGAGCTGCCTAAACATCAAGAAATTTCAGCACGATTCCATTAGCTAAGCAGGATCCTCATGCTCTCCATATTTAATTTTTAAGAGCTGACTTACGAAAATGGAGACACACAGACAACATAAATAGGAAGTTTATATCATAGGAGTAATTTTCATTAAAAATCTTTAGAACCGCTCCTGTACAGTAACATTTTAGTGTGACAAATATTTCAAAAATGGTAGTTCAAATATAATTGATGATCAGTTTATATGGTATCACAAAACATAATGATGAACCTATGCTATTCAACTAGTTTACCAGTTTCAGAAAAGCAGCACTGAAGTTACAGAGCAGGGTAGGAATGTAACTTGGTTCCCAGAGCTCAAAGACTAGCTACAAACTACAGTCGCCCTACTAGGGTATAGAACACTAAACCTGATTCCTTCTGACTGCACTTAGATTGGCTGCACTTGGATACCTGTTATCCAGTCTCCTCTCCCTACCCTCTCTGCTTTACTTAGCCTCTAGTGGTCACTTTTCTCTAGTTAGAAATAACATGTTTTTAGTTTCCACATATGAGAAAGAAGATGCAGAATTTGTCTTTCTGTGCCTGACTTATTTCACTTAACATAATGTTTTACATTTGCACATATTTTATCACAAATGACACAGTATTTTGTTCAATTTATAGCTAAATAATATTCATATACATATCACCACATTCCCAATTCACCTGCTGATATGTATTTTATAATTATACACTTATATTAACATGCATAATTGTGCAAATGAGGAATGGCCTGGGGTCTTATATTAGTACCTGTCCGAAACCATCAAGGGTGTACAATGAAAATGTGCCTCATTCTCTCTATATATACCTCCTCACCAACTGGGTGGATACCATCTGTCATCCATAGCCAGGCATCCTGAACCCTATACCTTCAACAGGTTCTGATCCTGGTCTTCTTACATTGTTCTTCTCATTCCTGAATGTTGATGGCTACATTCTCAGCAAGGTAGGAAAGACACTACTAGTCTCTATACCAATTAGAATTTGAGTCACTGTCTCACAAATTAACACTAAGTTTTTCTTTATCCTACATCATAACTATTCTAATGCTCCTCAAGTATGTTTCATGGTTCCACCAATATATCAAATACATAATGCATGTTAATTATTTCTGATGTTCTTCAAGTATGCTTCATGGTTCCAACAAAATATTAAACACATAATGCATGTTAATTACTTCTCCTATGAAGTGCACAAAGATTCTGTATATACTACTTTATTAATGCTAATTGCTCAGATTTGTTGGAGACATGCTTCATTTAATCCCCATAATATAGCTATCTTATGGGAAAGAAAAATGGGTCTCTAAAAGCTTATGTCCAATAACTTGGTACTCTACAAAAGAGTGTGTTATCAGGTTCTAGTCAGTTGTATGTCATATTCAATCTTGATTGTATTTCTGTTTCAATAAATGGTGAGGTGCTTGAAAGCTATCTGTGTTTTGTAACTCCTACTAGGACAAATAATTGAGTTTTATTTTAATTTGTTTGTTTTTATTACTGATTTTAAATCTTGCTTTAAAAATATGGGATATTTTGTGGGTTTTTTTAAGTTTAACTATAATCACAAAATTTAACGATAGCAACTACAAATTTCCTTCTATAACCTTGGACAACAATTGCTTAAGTTGTAGATAAAACTCTTCACCCAGTATTTCAGTAAGGTGAAACTTAGTTATTAATCCGTGGTAGAACAGAATCAACATGTAGAGCTTGGAATCTGGCTTTTTAGGCTACCAAGTCCATACAATTTCTCAATTTTCACACATCTTTGCCCCTCTCTCATACATGCTTCATGCCAATACAACAGGTTTTGACAGTAAGGGAATCTTCTAGAAATAGATCAAGGTAAGAAGTTCTCCTGGGACTATCCCTAGACTTTCCCCAATTGATCCTAGAGTGTTTTGAACTTACAGCATGAACAAGGATAGTTAAGTGCTATAGTTAAATTATATAGGAGCATCTCAAAATTCACTCTGGGAATGTAACTGGTTTTTAAAACATAATTTCCAGACTCAAGGATGATAATATACACCTGTATTTCACACTGTTCAGTAAGCAGAAATCAAGAGCATTGCTGTTCCAGTCAGCTTAAGCAAAAAGACTCCATCTCAATAAACAAGTTGGAAGCCAGGTGTCAGTGGCTCACACCTATAATCCTAGCTACTCAGGAGGCTGAGATCTGAGGATCACTGTTCTAAGCTAGCCTGGGCAGGAAAGTCCATGAGACTCTTATCTCCAATTAACCACTAGAAAAGCAGAAGTGGCACTGTGGCTCAAGCCGTAGAGGGCTCCCCTTTTCAATCCCCATGACCGACAAAAAACTAAAAATAAAAAAATAAACAAGTTGGGTGTTGGGTGTTGACAGTAAACACTACTATCAACTACTCATAAGCTTAGATAACAAGATATCAGTCCAAGGTTTGTCACAGGAAAAAAACAGGATGCTTTCTCTGAAAAATAACCAAAGCAAAAAAAAAAAAAAAAATGGGTAGGGGTATGTCTCAAGTGGCACAACAGCATCTGCTTAGTATATTTGGCTCAAACCTCAGCACAATTTTAAAAAAGTAATTTCAAAGGAAAAAATTTGTTCCACTTTCAGTTGTCTTACAGATAAAATTTTATGACATAGTGCTTTTAAATTAGTGCTATTCTATTGAATTTTCCATTATACCCCATTCTAGATTTATTCTAACACTAAAGAATACTTACTTGGACGGTTCTGTACTTTCTCCAATAAAGTACAATTGAGTAGTTCAATAAACACAGATTCTGATCTTTCTGGTTCTTCATCATCCAAAATTGAAATAGTTATTGTTGCCTCTGACTGATTAGCTTTGAAAACAGCAAATCCAGAAGCTGATGTATAGTCTTTCCCTTGAGTTGCTCTAGCTAAATTTGGTGGAAAGTAAGGTGGTCTTTCCATGTCATCTAGAGTTGCATATGACACAATGACTTCTCCCATGAGGCCTTTCAACCTAGTTATTGACAGTGTGATATTCTGAGTTGCCTCCTCAATTTTAGTAGGTTTATTTTCCTCCGAAAAAATGAATACTCCATAAGGATCATCACTAGCCAAGACTATTAATGTGGCATTAGTAAGAACTCCCAAAGACCCACTAGAGACACGAAGGATTGACACAGAGAATGCTTTGTCCAGTTCTGGAATGTCATCCGGTAATATTTCCACAGTGATGTGGGCCTTCATCTCTCCAATTTCAAAAGTAGTGTTGCCATAGGTGAGGGCAAGGTCCCCATCAGGATCGGAGTCTATGTTCCAGTGCAAAGTCACCTGCGATAGAGCTCCATGACTCCTCTGAACCTACAAACATGGTTCAAAAGAGGAACTAATACAATTGACTGAAAACCTTATGATGATATAATAATAACAACAATACAATAACTTTTATTTTATGTTATGTAAGTTCTGAACAGTATAAAATGGCCACCTACTGCCCATTTCTGAAGAACCGTTGGGCATTCTTACAAAAGAAGAGTATTTAAAAAGTGATAGTTCCATAAAACCACAAACTATTTAGCTTCTAACTAAACTATAGCTCTACTTTATGTCTAGTTTTAATATGTATCAGGAATCAAAGGTTATTCGCATTTTTTTAATCTAGGAATAAATCATGAAAGCTTTTATATTTATAACAAGAAAAATGTAAAGAATCATTGTAAAGAATAGACCAGTAATATTTATCTGAAAACTTAGTGATGACATTCATTTTTAAAACATTTTTATATTCAAAACAACAAACACATCAAAAAATATTTAAACTAAAGTATAATTAAAATTCCTGTTTTTCCCAATTTATTAAGAAATAAAAGCTTTAAAAGTATCCCAAATTAATCTCAATTTTTATTTCTAAGAACAATTTTTATTTCAACTTAAAATGTGATTTTAACTCAAAGTAAAATTAGGGACAATGATGATTTTCGTGAGTGTGTAGGTGCTGGCACTAGCTCCACAAGCTCTCACGACTTTTTCACTCAAGGCAGGCGCTCTATCACCTCTACGTTAAGCTTTTTCCTGGTAAAATGTCATAGATTATCATAGGTTGTCTTCTGTGGACTGGCTTCAAATAAGGTTGCTCATATATCAGCCTCCAGAGTAGCTAGAATTACAGGTATGAGCCCTAGCACCCAGCAGGGACAATAACCTTTAAAAAAAAAAGTTGATATAATGTGTCCTTTTTCTTAATTCTGCTCTCTCCTAACTATTCTTTTTAAAGAAACAAAGTTAATTCCACGACAATATTTTGAAAATCTGCCATCAGAATACAGAGGATGTCTTTGCTTGACTTTTCTGCAATGTTTGTCTAAAACTGAGAAGGTTGGGCAAGTTCTCAGTTCCTCTGAGTCCCTGAACAATAGAATATTTCTTAATTTCTGCTGGACTAAAACAGATACATACTCACATACCCTCATACCAACTATGGAGTAGTTGTTGTTGCTATTGCTATTCACTGATAATTTTCTTTCCTTCTGAGAAAATGACAGAATAAGACTCCATTTCACTCATTAACTTCAGGCATAATCATGAAACTTGTTTTGACCATGTTAGTCTAAGCACTAACTATGAAAATTGTTCCCAGAAAGAAGCTATATGGATACCAGTGTGTAATCAACACACATATCCTCCCTGCAATCTTTTAAGAAAATATGAACAACTGTTGAATGATAGCCACTTACTCCAGCCTCTTACTCCATAAATGCAAACCAAATTTTTATTATACTAAGTGATAGAGATTTGGGGACAGTTATTACTACAGCGTACCAAAACTAAGGCATAGATATCAATACTTACAGTATGTAGGGAAAATTAAACCTATATGCAAAGTTAAACACGAACATAAAATAAATTGCTAATTTATACTATAGGTCTGTGCTCATTTTATTCCCTTACACAGAAAAATAAAACCCCCCTCCATCAAGGAATGAAACAAGGGAATGAAGGGAGAAACAAGAAATGAAGGGGGAAATATACTCACAGTTAATAAAACAGTGCTGTGCCCATCTTCTGGTTCAGTTCCATTGACAGAGAGCGACTCCGGACTAAACTGAAACACTCCATGAGCATGGTCAGAGGCTGCAATTGTCACTAGAATCTGGGATGCCACTCCTAGACTGGCTGCATGAGCGAGTTCCCACAAACAGAAAAGAAAAGAAAAAAAAAAAAAGAAGAAAGAAAAAAAATGAATCAGTACTGTACAAACCACAAGAAAATCCAGGGAACAACTTCTTGAAAAGAGTCATTCCATTCATTGAGTACATTCTAATTTGTTTGAAAAAGAAAGGCAGACAATTACGGTGGCTGCATAGGTTCATGCTTTCACATGCTTTTCACTGATTTGGCACCAATGGGATACACAAGTGCTGAATGAGTACTCAGGGATGAATAAGGAAAACCTGCTTTTCATTTTCGTTCTCTGTGAAAGAGAATTCTCTTCCACATGGAGCCTACGAGGAGCATCTCCCACGACCTTTGCTGACCTCAAACAAGCACAAGCCAAAATGACTCATCTTTAGGAAACAGTGATTTCTCTACCTCTGATTGTAGTCAGTCTCACTGAACAGATTCTTAGTTTCCAAAGAACATTAACTTTAATTCTATTTATTCCATTGCATTTATCTTTCCTGATCCCAGCCAATCTGATAGTCCAATTCTATAGCTAACACATGTTAAGATTCAAAGAAGCAATTGATTTTTTTCCCAGGGAAGAATGTTTCTTTTTTATATTGTATTGATGTCTTCAGATATCAGTAAACTGTGAGCAATATTAAAAGCATTAGAGTAACTAACAGAGGTTCCATGAGGCTCTGTTGAAGTTAAGATCGAGGAAAGGGGGAAGTGGAAGTTCTAACAATGAATGTAAAACCTGACATTGGGTAAAGGGATGTTAGAAGATTAGAAAGTGCTCTCCTTCAAGAAATGAGCACTCCAAACGTTCTCTTCATATGTAAAAATAATATCTGAAACCTGAGGTCAGTGGCTTGTGCCACTGAGATTGAGAGGATGCTACTTTGATGCCATCCCAGGAATAAAAAAAGCCCACCACCCTCCCTCTCAATGGAATGATGCATGTGTTGATGTGGATCTTTTAGTTTAACTAGAATGGGAACTGTAACAGGTGAATTGTGGCAGAGACTTTATCTAAAAATAATCAGCACAGAAAAAAGCCATAAGTGTATCTTAGGGGTAAAAGAGCACCTGAGTTCAAACCCCAGCACCACAAGACATAGATATATAGATAGATAGATAGATAAATAGATAGATAGATAGATAGATAGATAGATAGATAGATTAGATGATAGATAGATGAAAGCATTTCAATATAGAAATTCATATAGAGTTGAAGTTAAAAGCTGAATCATGTCGGTATATAAACTGCTTCAAAAGGCACCTTTTTTCAATATTCCGCCACTAATGGAAAATTACTCTGTCCGTATGTTTCCTTCCAAATTTCACATTTGTTTTGATTAAATCTTATAATAAAGGCTCCCAATCTTTGCTGTACAGTAAATAAGTGTGATGGATTTCACAGGAAGATACAAAAGCTTCAATTCATCTCCTTTTAGGATTTAAAGCTATGCACCGTGTTTTCAACAATTTTTTGGTAAATTGAATAAAAAAATTCTATCCAGTCATAATTGGGAAATGACACTAGGGTAGACAGGGAAGAGAGCCTGGGTATCACTGTCAGGGAGAGATAGAATTGCATCACTTTCTAGCTGGGTTAATGACAGCCTAGAGTAAATAAAGATTCTGTCATAATTAATGAAATAAAATATATAAAGGATCTATACCTAGCACAGATTAGTATTCTTTCTTGCAAAGAGAAGGTAGAATAAAAACATTCACTGTTAACGAATCTTGCAACAGCTGCTTACCACGTCTGTGAATAGGCGGAATGAAGAATTCCACGTCCCCATCTCCACTACCACTGCCATCAACCCTAAAGAGCTCGGGCACTTCACAAGGAGACACACAGAGACACAACCCACACGACACACATTGACACAATGAGAGAATGAAGAGTTCTTAAAATGCATGATGCAAATAGAAAATTCAGGGACATTCACCCCATGGCAGGCAGCCTTGCATAGAGGAGATCTTTTTAAAGGATGTGCCTATAACACCAATCACGTCAAAGTACCAAAATTTCAAGTTTCAAGAAATACTGCATGTACATTATCATTGGCATTTTAATTGCCAGTAATTCAAATATTTTTCTTTAAATCCTCACCTGTTTATAACAACATAAATTGTTTTCTAACCATGTGACCATTTAAAAATGTGTGTGCATAGATAATCATATGCTTATATGTCTGTGACAGTAAGCTTACCAATCACAATCAATTCAGTATTAAGATAATCTAACATTGTCCCACACCACACACCAGCCCCCACCCCACTACATTTTCAAACTCAATCTCCTTCTTCTTTTCACTGACATTGTGGGAAGATTCCTAGGGAAAGGAGTAATAAAATTCTACTTCAGCTATGGTTCCAAAACCTTGCAGAAAACACTTAACTTCTTAGCATTTTACTTTCCTCACCTACAAAACATACTACCTTACATAGAAATGTTGTAAATATAAAATAAAATGATGGCAAGTAAATAATATTATAAAATGTAGTATGCCATGACAAGGTATAAGAACTATGATAAATACAACATAGTTATATGTCTGATAAATCATATACTCTAACTCTAATTTTGCCAAATGGTTACAAAGAAGGCAGGAAGAGCAGTGATGATAGAATGGAAAGGCAGAGCCAAATAGAAACAGATGTGCTGCGTTATTGACAGACCAGTGTAAGGTCTACTCTGCCAAAACTTCTGTCTTTCTCCTCATCATGACTGGAATGTACCAAACACGAAAAGTTTTTCATGCCACAAATGTGGCATCCAGGACTTGAAGCCTGAAGAGGCAAGATGAATTTCCTGTAGGAATCCCATACTATCTAGAAGCCATGAGATAGGTGTGTGAAGTCAATGTCATTGATACTTTGGCTGGCATAAACATCTATTATCAATGTTATGACTATGTTATATAGAATCAGCATTAGACACCGTGTGGAAGAAAGAATTCTCCCTTGATGATCAAAAGAATTTACATCTGCAAGCTATTTCACATACTAGGCATGAGTAGAGAACTGAGAGTCATGGTCAAGATGCTATTTCTTTCTATCTCAACTCACTGACAAAAAAATAATAATAATGCTCTGACATTACTGCTTACAAACAGCAAGAGTTCACATGAGAATTCATTTCCAACTAGTATAAAACAACTCGCAATCTAGAAATGTGAGGAAATGTTTCTACATAAAATCATAAGTATCATGATTACAAGAAACACCTTAAGAGCCAGACATTGGTGGCTCATACCTGTAATCATGGCTACTCAGTAGGCTGAGATTTGAGACCACAGTTTAAAGTCAGATAGCCTGGGCAGGAAAATCCAGAGACTTATCTCAAATTTCCCACCAGAAAACTGGAAGTGGAGCTATGGCTCAAAGTGGTAGAGAGTGCTAGCCTTTATAAAGAAGAGCTTAGGAACAGCCCTCAGGCCTTGAGTTCAAGCCCATGACCAAATTAAAAAACAACTTAGAAATATTTGGTTCAGGGCCAAGATGCAGCTAGTGAATACATGTTTGCCTAAGCATATAAGATACCCTAAATTCACTGGGCGCCGGTGGCTCACGCCTGTAATCCTACCTACTCAGGAGGCTGAGATCTGAGGATCACAATTCAAAGCCAGCCCAGGCAGGAAAGTCCATGAGACTCTTATCTCCAATAAACCACCAAAAACCCAGAAATGTCACTATGGCTCAAGTGGTAGAGCGCTCACCTTGGGCTGAAGAGCTGAGGGACAGCACCCAGACCCAGGGTTCAAGCCCCACAACTGACCAAAAAAAAAAAAGAAGCCCTAAGTTTCAGCCCTAGCCCTACAAAAAAAAGCCTATTATTGAATGAGAGCAAATAATGGTCGCTATCAATTTTTAGTACATAAATATTTTTAACTGTAACACAAAGGAAAACTTTCAAATATAATAACCTTGTCAGCAGTTTGACTCTGAATTGGAGATATAAAGACTTAATCCTGGAGGATAAACATTGTTTCTACATGCTATCTGCTACACAAATCATCTAGTACATTTCCCTATCTTTTGCATTTGACAAGCTGTTGCACAGTATGTTTAATCCCTCTAATGACTCCAAGCACAACCTCCCTCTCATTTGTCTTCACCTGGACTTTGATATCAGAGAGAAATTGTACATATGTATCCTAAAGTCTCACTTTCTACAAAAAGACAGTTTTAATATAGTCTGCCTTACTCAATATCTCTCTTTAGATGAATTTTTTACCATGAATCTCTTTATGACAATAGTGTAGACATTAGTAATAATGAGATAATACTGCCAGTTTTTGTAATAAAGGGACTTACATAATGAAAAAAAACATACTAATTCTTATTTTCTTATTTTACAAAGATAATTCAGTGCATACCATAACCATTCTATAACATCCCAGTACCAATTGACAATGAAACATCCATATTTCTTCAAAGAAATGTAAATAGGTCACCTGAACAAGATAGTCTAACTGCATTATTAACTTTTAATTTTAATTTTATTTAATTAATTAATTTGTTTAGGTCAGTCAAGGGCTTGAACTCCTGGAAACTGTTCCCGAACTCTTTCACTCAGGGTTAGTTTTCTACCACTTTCAACCACAGTGCCACTTCTGGTTTTCTTGGTGGTTGATTGGAGATAAGAGTTTTATGGTCTTTCCTGCCTTGGTTTGCTTTGAAGCACATTCCTCAGATCTCAGCCTCCTGAGTAACTAGCATTACAGACATGAGCCACCAGCACCTGAGTATCTAATCTCATTTTAATGGAAAAGTTTTGCCATATGAGTTGTAACTCCAAAGACCTTTGATAATCAATGTTTTGATATCAGATTTGAGAATAAGATTTTATTGGTAATCATGTTATATAGATTACCAAAAAGGACAAGTTTTCACCTGGAGAGAGTTTAATAGAGCAATTATAAGAATTCACAAAGGGAGGAAAGATGGCTTTAGGGGTAAGTAGTTTGTACCCCTAAAGTGACAACTCGGGTGAATGACAACTATAATTTAGTGATTTAGTAAAATTGTTCCACTTCACTCTAAAACTGTATCTATTTTTTTTTTCTGTTGGTCGTGGGGCTTAAACTCTGGGCCTGAACGCTGTCCCTCAGCTCTTCAGCTCAAGGCTAGTGCTCTACCACTTGAGCTACAGCACCACTTCTGGTTTTCTGGCGGTTTATGGGAGACAAGAGTTTCACGGACTTTCCTGGGCTGGCTTTGAACCGTGATCCTCAGATATCAGCCTCCTGAGTAGCTGAGTCACTGGTGCAGGGCTCTAAAACTGTATCTACTTTAGGGTAGATGAATGAGTAATAAAAAGGGAAATAAATGATCAATAGGTGGAATCAATATAAACCACATATACAATTGAGAATTAAACAAAACACATGAAATTATGAATTGGCCATAATGAAACTAATATTCAACATTTATGTAGAGAGATATGAATTTTCTTTTTATAAAGAAAATAATCAGAACTGTCTGTCATAAATCATAAATGATTATGACTTTCTGGCTATTCTCTCTAAAAACATTACACATAAAAACTGTAAGAACACTTAAAAAGAATCTTTGAAACAGAATTTACCATTAATTTATAGTTAACCCATAGTGGATGGACAAGCAAATATTTGAATTATCAGTCTTACCTCCTCCCTCCAAATTTAACAACTCAACTTTAAAAGATTTTTCCAATTCAGGGACAGAATTATCAGTGATGTTGACAAAAATGTACTTATATCTTTCTCCTGGTTGAAATTCCAGTGTGCCATCTACACTCTGAAATGGAAATGTAAGATTTCTCTGTTAGGTTATAACTATTCTCTTTAGAAAACTTCAAAATGAAGGAGTTGCTATTTGCTAGTATGGAATTGATATAAATACTGAAATAGAAGAACATACATAAAATACAAAGCTAAATACATTTCAATGGAATGAACTCCAGGAAATGGAACAGTTTTATTGGTGGTGGTAGTGATGGTGGTGGTGGTGGTGGTGGTGGTGGTGGTGACAGTGTTTGTTTTTGCTTTGTGGTTTTTTAATGTTTTTTTATTGTAAAAATACTATACAGAGGGGTTACAGTTTTATGAGTAAGGTAATGAGTACATTTTCTATCAATCACTGTTACCTCCTCGTTTGTTTTTCCCCTACCATTCCTACCCTCCTCACTTTCCCAATTCCTCCTCCCCCCCCCCCCACCAAGTTGTAAAGTTCATTTTCAACATAGTGTCTTGCACATCTCATTTGTACAATGGGCCAACCTGTATCTTTATTTCAGCGTTTTGTTATTTCCCTTCCCTTCCCCAAATTAGAAAAATGTATATACATATTTCTTCTGGAATTGTAAAAGGGGGGGGGGGTGACAGAAAGAAGAAAGGGTGAACAAGTGCAATCATGCTAAGTATACACTATGTGGAAAATGACCTATGTGGGATAGGAGGGGGAAATTGGAGGAAAGCAAAGGAAGGGATGGCATTATCCAAAACGAGAAATGTACTCATTACCTGACTTATGTAACTGAAAGCACTCTGTACATCACCTTATAATAAAAGTTAAAATTGTTAATACTAAGAAAAGAGCAAAGAGGCTAGAGACTTATCTCAATTGGTAGAGCACATCCCTCTAGTGTAAGACCTGAGTTTAAAAAGGAAACTCTGCTTTATCCGGTTCTTTAACAGTACTAAATGTAGATACTGTTATTTGTTCATGTTTCCTCCCAGAAGCTGGAGATCACAATTGATGCCCTTTAGTGCTTTTTCTTTCACACAAAAAGCCCTTCAAATCCTACCACTTTTATTCTGAACTATATTTGAATCCATCTACTTTTTTCCACAAATGTCACCAGCCTAGATGAACATATCATCACCACAGGTGTTGCTCAACACAGAACTCTTTCCTTGTCTTTCCAATGAATCGTCTAATCAATTTTCCACAGTTCAGCTTAGCAATCTCTCCTGGAGCCTTCTCTCCTAACTTATGCATCCACATTTCCATCCATAACCTAAGGAATCATGTCTGCCTTTGCACTGAAGCAGATATCGCCATAGGAGACATCATAAGAAGCAAAGGAAATTGTTCAAACTGGAAGCAGCTAACAGCCAGCACATCGAAGCACCCTGAAAAATCCTCAGAGACTCCTCCAAGTAAATCAACTTTCTAATGGGCATGAAGGATAGGGGCATAAGGTTGTTTTATTTTGTTTAGCCTTGTTTTATTTATTAAGTAAAGAAAATTATAAAACAACTGAAGGTTGGAGCTATTCAGGCTATTTAAAACTTGAAGACCACTAACAGGAGGACTAAAGGATTGTTCTAAGAAACACATCAAACCAAGAAGCAATATATTATGGAATACGTTAAATATCAACCAAGAGAGAAAATAAATGTCAAAACAAAAGTTCACTCTCCTAAGAAAGCAGCCAAGAAAGAACAAATCTAAAAAAACTATACTACAGTTAAAATTAATAGAATTTTATTAAACAAGACTCCTGGGTTTAGGAGGAAAATGTATATGCATTAATGTACTTTTGTGTATTTTTATGAAGGTGAGAAACAAAAAAAAACTAACAAATTTTTTTTTAAAGGCTAGGCATGGTGGTACATGGCTCTAATCTTAAATCTCTGCTACTCAGAAATGGTCAAATTTCAATCTAATCAAGTATACTGATTCATATGTATGTAAAAGGCAAGTAAGCATCAGTGCTCATTTTCCTGGTAAGCCCAAGTCCCTTCCAGCCTTCCAAGGGAAGGATTGTGTCCATTTCCAAAATGCAAATGCAGCTACAAAGGCTTAGGGGCATACCTGGTAATCCTGAGGACTGAATGCTGTCAAAGACAGGGTCCTGTACTCAGCAGTCACCCTCCCCAGGAGTCCTAGGGTCCGGACCACCAGCAGCCTGACTGCTCCATCCTCTTCTTGAACAGTAAGTTGGGGCATGCTGCTTGCAGGCCGGCTCATCGCATCCTCAGGCTGAGGAGGCAGCCCTGTGGAGAACTGCAGCAGACCTGCAGGAAACAAGGCAGACAGAACTCCCTTCTCTTATCTCTGGAATAATTTCTTCCTCTCCTAAAGCAATCTGTTCAGTCATTTTCATTGACAGGCTAACATCCTGAAGGCTTTTATGTAGAAAAGTCTCTATGGGAAATCTTTTACAGACTTTTGACATGGAATCTGCTTACAAGCCTTCATGATGGAAAAAGCTTAAAAAAAAAACTTGTCACATGAAGAGCATAACATGCTCAGAAGCATTTTGATTCTACATTAGCATTAGTAAAAGGAATACTTATGGCATTTTAAAATATGTGCTTCCACAGTCAACACAGTGGTACACATCTATAATCACAGCACTCAGGAGGCCCAGGTGAGAGGAATATGAAAGTGAAACCATCCTGGGCTACAAAGTGAGACCCTGAGTCAAAAATTCATGTATATGTGTATGCATCATGTATTCATATTTGATTCATCTGAATTTCTTGAATTGATAGTCGAACAGGATTAATTGCACCTTAAAGAATTTGCAACAATTCTGAAAAAAAATAAGCTCACTCCTTCTCTACCAAGAATTTTACACCAATGTTCTTGCTCTATTCACACACAAGAAATATTACTTGTTAGTATAAAACAAATTCTCAATTTAGTGGACTAGGTATCTATAATTTCACAATGAAGAAAATGAACACATTTCAGCATACAAGTAATAAAGTATTTTTAGTAATATATTGTTCATTATACTTTATAACTATGATTAATTACAACTAATCCTAATAAATGCACAGAGATAATGTCACTTGAATCCTAAAAAAATATATAAACTATGAAAATATCAATGACTTATATGTTCAAATGCCACCATCAGGGATGTTTTTAGAGGAATTTTGATAGCCACAAATAAAAGAACTTTTATTTTCATTTTGAATAATCCTGCAAACACATTGCAAAATACTTAAATTCAGAAATTGCTCTTGATTTTTTCCTGATAAACAATGTTATTCAAATTAGCATCTTAGACGTTAAAAGCTTAAAAGGTAGACGATCTTGGGGAGTTCATTCAATTGCTTGCAAAATGTCCCCAAATACGGGGCAAAGGAAACTATTGCTGCAAAGGGTATATTACCATATGGATGATCGCTGGCTTTGATGGTGATATCTGTGGTTTCCTTTTCAGGATCTATGCTCGCCCCACTGGTGGGAGTTGAACCCAATTTCCTATCTCCAGGAACAGCCGACACCAGGGTTACCTGGAAATATTCATTCAGCTCAGGAATGTCATCATCGAGAACATGTAAGTTTAGGACCTATGAAGATAAAAGATCAGAGCCATTAAGCAATGAGGCCTGTGTAATTATCAGGGTAAATAAAACATCTACAATGTATTTATTTGATTTTTTGGGGGGGGGGGTCCAGTTGTGGGGCCTGAACTCTGGGCCTGGGCACTGTCCCTCAGCTCTTCAGTTCAAGGCTAGCGCTCTACCACTTGAGCCATAGTGCCACTTCCGGCTTTTTTCTTTTTGCTTATGTGGTGCTGGGGAATCAAACCCAGGGCCTCAGGCATGCAAGGCAAGCGCTCTACCACTGAGCCACCTTCCCAGCCCCTATTTGATTTATTTTTCCTATAATTAGTAGTTGTGCAAGGGAGGTATCATTTAACGAAGCAGTATATGTCATTTAACAAAGCATCTTGATCTGCGTCACCAGTACAAACTTACACATTAAACCACATATATTTGAATATGTCAATACATTCAAAGAAAAAAAAGCTGAGGAAATAAATTAATTCCTTAATTACAGGGTGATTTGATCTGAATATCAGGGGCTCTGCTCTCCTCCAGTCGCTCTGTCAGTGTACCTAACCCCCAAAGCCCTGGTATTAAGATGGAGAGCTTTGGGAAGAAATTCCATCTGAAAGGCAGAGCTCAGAAATAAAACCAGTGCCCTCAGAACAGCATCTGGAGGGAGTCTTTTTTTTTTTCCCCTAGCACCCAGTGAGGACGCTGACATTCTGCTGGTAAGTCTCAAGATCTTTTCTGCTTTGAACCTCAATCTTTAGATCTCAACTCCTAGAGTAGGTAGAATTATGGGTGTGAGCTACCAGCATATGCCTCCTAAAAGCCAGGCATGGCCTCATGAGACTCTATCTCAAAAAAGAAAGAAAGAAAGAAAATAAGTAAAGAACTTCCCTATATGTGCAAAAACAACAGAACAGCATACTCTGAAGTTATACCATTTTTATTATATTGGAATTAAAGAATTAATAAAATTGTAACATGTTGAAACTCTTAATTTTTCTCTCTATCATGGTATGCATGCATGTGTGTATGTGTGTGCACGTGTGTGTGTGTGTGTGTGTGTGTGTGTGTGTGTGTGTTTAGCGTGTATAAGCCACAAAGAAGTGACAGAACAAACACATCAGGAAAATATTCCCAAGAGGCATGAAGAGAGGCAGGGCCAGGCTTACCTCAGATCTCTGCCAAGGAAGAAATGTGATGTTTCCACTGGCATTGGTGAAATCATCCACGAGGTAATCACTGCCCCCAGACTGGATCTGGGAGATGGTGTAGAATACATGCACAGAGCCCAGCGCTCCCCTGGTCCGCTCTACCACACAGGAAACTGTGGCTCCCTCTTCTACAGTCTGCATTTGAGCACAAACCACTTAAGTCTCTATTTACAAAAACTAGCAATAAACTTAGTCTACTCTTTAAAAACTTAATTCTTTAACTTTCTACCTCCCTCAGAGGTCTATATGATAAAGTTTTATCTGTTAAAAAACACTTGCAATCATTTCTTTTCTTCTTATTCTTTGTAAGAATCCTAAAGCAAAAATTGACCATAATATCTTACCCATCAAGTTAGCTAATTCATTGATAACTTTCTGGGTGCCAGCAATGCTAGAGCCAAAGCTACAAAAGACTTTTTTTTTTTGGTCAGCTGTGGGGTTTGAACAGGGCCAGGGGGCACTGCTCCTGAGCCTCTTTGTGCTCAAGGTTAGCAGCTCTACCACTATGAGTCACAGTTCCACTTGCATGTTTTTTAAGTGGTTAATTGGAGATAAGAGTCTCACGGGGACTTTTCTTCCCTATCTAGCTTTGAACCGTGATCCTTAGATCTCAGCCTCCTGAATAACTAGGATTACAGGTGTGAGCCACCAGCACTGGCCAAAAGACTTTTTTAAACCAAAAACATGGACATTCCTTTCTTTGGATAATTGTAAATCTGAATAGAAAGACACACTTGTGACTTCATGTACAAACAGAGTAGATGAGACATGACATCAAGGAACCTTCTAGGGATAGACATAAGAAATAATACAGTGTGTTAGTGGAACCAAGAAGAAGCATGAAAAAATTCTTGGCTGGGCATGTCATCACACTCTTACAATGCCAATACTCAGGAGGGAAAAGCAGGAGGACTGCACCCAACTCTAGGTCAGCCATGACCTACATAGCATTATTTTGGGGGAGGGGGGTTGATCATGGGGCCTGAACTCTGGGCCTGGGTACTGTCCCTCAGCAATTCAGCTCAAGACTAGCTCTCTACCTCGTGAGCCAAAGTACCACTTCCGGCTTTTTCTGTTTATGTGGTACTGAGGAATTGAACCCAGGGCCTCATGCCTTGGATCATAGGGAAAAGCCAGCCCAGCAGAAAAGTCTAAGAGAACCCCATTTTCAAAATATGCAGCAAAACTCTGGGCTAGAGGTATGATTCAATGGTAAAGGGTCAGGCTGGCAAGCAAGCAAGCAAGTCAAGCCAAGTGAGAGACCCTGAGTTCAAACTGTGGTACTAGAAAAACAATGGAATCACTTAATACACATATGTATGCATGGATGTGATAGTGTACTCCTCAAGTCTCAGCCACTTAGAGAGGTGGAGGGGGAGAATTGAAGTCCAAATGAAAAAGAAACTAAAAGGATTGCAGGCATGGCTCAAGTGGGAAAATATTTGCCTAACAAGCATAAGACCTGAATTCAGACCTCAGTATCATCAGAAAAAAAAAAAAAAAACCTTAAAAAACAGAAGGGTCTACTCATACATACTAAATGACAGTAGATTTACTATATTTTCTTAACTCAGATTTTAATGAGAATCAAAATTTTGAATGAGATAAACTATCCGTCTCAATATTGTAAGTATTCAACCAATGCCTTTTCAGTAAGTTATGGAATAAATAGATTCAGGAATATGTAACAGTTCCTTACACTCTTAAATTTTCACCAACTCAAAGACCAAGACTACGATGTATCAGGACATAATTTCTTCAGGTTTTTGTTTTGGGTTTTTGGCTGTGTTTTGTTGTTTTTGTTTTAATAATTCACCCCAAAAAAGATGAAACAAGTCTATGGAAAAGGCTGAAATTACTGAAGCTGGGTGATGGATACACTGGATCCATTATTCTGTCTTTCTCATTTCTGTACCATGGTTTGAACTCATGGTCTCCATATCCTGCTCAGCTTTCTTGGTACTCCACCCCTTGAACTGTGCTTCCCATTTGACATTTTGCCAGTTAATTGGAGATGGAATCTTGAAGACTTTTCTGCCCAGGCTAGCTTTCAACTATGATCTTCCAGTTCTCAACTTCCTGAGTATCTAGAATTAGGAGTGTGAATCATTGGAGCCCAGCTTCATATAAATATTTTTTAATTCAGCTTTGTGCTTTTCTCATTCTCTGGTCAGATAATCTGACCCTGAGTCAGGAATGGTGTCCAATAATACTTATCAGAGGAGAACAATCTGATAAATACTGAATTATAGAAAATAATCACTAGTAGAGAAGATGGTTAAGACATAGAGAATACATATTGGTAAGGTCTTCTAATATTAATGCATTCATTCAGTGGGCTTTAAAATCATGGTACAAACACTTAGCCAGCATGTGAATGAGCATAGCATCCATAACAGTCTTCAAGACCACCCTTATTTAGCTATTTAGTCACAACAGCACTTACTACTGCTTCCTCTTTGAATCAGGAATTTTGTCAACTCTTCAGAGAAATGGTAAAGTAGTAATAAATTAGTATTATAATAAAATGCTAAGAAGAGTTTTACTCATAAAAAATAAATAATGCAGTATTCAGACCTATAAACTATACTCCTTTATTGAAGTAGAAAGTTAAAAACTATATAATTACAAATCCAATTAATTTTTAATTCTGTCTCATGCTTGAGTAATGATGTGATATCAGATTTTATTGATATCTCTTTGAGCTAAAGAAAATAATTCACATGACATATGGCAAGCACTTAAAAACTAATACTGGGCAAAAGGGCTCCTCTCTCTGCCTAGATGATGAAAAGATGTTCTAATCCCTAAAATAAGGAGAGAAAAGGCCAGAAAGGGAGAGATGCTCTGAACAAGATCAAGATTTTACAAAATGTTGCAAGGACATTGGAATCTTTATGGCAGTAAAATACCGGAAAGATATTCTGAATTGAAAGAATGTCTCAATCTTACTATTTAGATCCAGCCTTTTCTAAAGAATGCAGAATGGGGTATCTGAAGGAAAGGGAAGGAAACAGAAAGCTGCAGAAGCTTTCCACAGCATTTAGGCAAGGAATCAGTAACTCTTGTAGTTATGGAGATCATTTATAAGTTACATGAAATAATGAACTCAGAATTTATTTATTTCTTCTAACTATGGAAATAAACACCGTTATTTCAGGAGAAAAAACCTAACAGGCTGGAAATGTGGCCCATAGGTAGACCCCCTTCCTCGCAAGTCCAAGACTCTGTATTCACACCCCAGTACTGTCAAACACAAAACGAAAAACAAAGTCCACATGGTAATAATATACTTATTTTTACAATGATCTTTCCAAGCTGTCCCTACCTTGATTCTTAAGCCATAAACTTATAAACATAAATAATATTCAAAACATTGGATTAAAATAGAGTAATAAAGCCCACAATTTCCATAAGTGTTTAAAATGTAATTTCATTAATTTATAATTATGGATGTGAAGACTTTACAAGACATACAACATAATATTAAAGGTACTGAGGTAGATAGCGGAAAATAGCAAAGAAAGTATATAGAATAAGCAAGTATGTGGAAGCATTTGTTACATTAAAATCTATTAGTCTATCTACAGTCAACCTTTTACTCATGTATGTTTTGGTAGTAATGTGCAAAGATTATTTGGGAATTGTCATAGTGACTTACAGGTATCTTCCAAATGGAACATTTCATTATACAAAATAATCAGACTGGTATATTTTAATGTCAATCTTCTCTGAAAAGTTTTGAAGCATTAGGTAACAGTTAAGGTCACTTTGTCAGATTAAAATGTGCTCCAAATTCAAATTTGCATTTGAAAGAGCAAATATTTATCATCAGGAAGAGCTGCCAGTTGTGTTTCTTATAACCAACAACTCATTCCACTCATTTTCATGAAAATGTCTGATAAATATCCAACTGTGAATAAAGTTTGTCAGTCATTTTCCCACGGAAAAAATGAACTGATTTCCATGAAAACTGCAACTAGTTCAACTCATGATCCAAAATCTGCACAAGTCATTATTTTCCAGGAAACTATCATGTTTGACAATGCAGCACAAGTACTTTCTGTTTCTGTTTCTCTTTTCATGACATAGCATATATAAAATGCAAGACTTTGTGAGTTGAAATTTTTAATGGATTATTTTTCTGCTTCATCAAACATCTTTTAAGGAAAGTTACTTATAAACCATCAAGAAGTGATGGTTAATAACTAGTATGATATGGAACCACTATCTTGCTTCGTACGAAGATGCTAAAAGCTAGTAATTCAAGCCATTATTGCTATTACAGTACAATATGTCAGTAGATTCAATAAAAGGAAAATAACATATTAGTATATTTTATAAAGATAGATTTGACTCTAACAATAAGTCTGAAGGGATGTCAACAGGAATAGAACAGTTTACATAACTACACAACTAAATTAATACCAATTACATTCCATTAGTGGAACTTTTTTGTGAGATATGATTAACTTAGTTCCTTAGGGTTCTGCTATGACAGAACTCTTTTTTTTTTTTTTTTTTTTTTTTGTCAGTCATGGGGCCTGAACTCTGGGCTTGGGCACTGACCCTCAGCAATTTAGCTCAAGGCTAGCACTCTACCACTTGAGCCACAGCACCATCTCCAGCTTTTTTCTGCATATGTGGTGCTGAGGAATCGAACCCAGAGCCTCATGCATTCAAGGCAAGCACTCTACCACTAAACCACCTTCCCAGCCATAGTGGAACTTTTTAAGAAGCCAGCACTTATAACTTTAATGGTCCAGAAAACCAGAGAAACTAAAAGGCAAGTGTTTATAGACCAGTTGATGAGCGCTAGTGTTCTGAAACTGGTCCTGGAAGCAAGACAAATAAGATTGAAGCCAACATCAAATATAGTGAAAACAAGGGTTATACCATGGGGGAGGGACATACAAAGCACAAAAAAAAATCACATGGTACATTATAAATACATTAGAAACAATAGCAAGAAAGAAAAAAAAACACTTGTGTCCTTATCTTGGGGTTCATTTCGCTTAACATCATCTTATCTGACCTTTTCTGCTCATCTCAGACATATACTATTTATTATTGCAAATAAGGGAAACCATGGGACCTATATTTCTTTGGGTCTGGCTTACATCACTTAATATAATTTTAAAAAGGGATACAGGTTGACCCATTGCAACAATGAGATGTACGCTACGTCGAAAACAATGAGAAAACAATGAGACACTACATCAAAAAATGAACTTTACAATTTAGGTGGAGGAGAGTGTAGTTGTGGAATGGGAGGGAAGGGATGGTAAGGGGAAAAACAAAGGAGAAGACAACCATGCTTGATAAGAAATGTACTCATGGGCTGGGAAGGTGGCTCTGTGGTAAAGCGCTTGCCTTGCATGCATGAGGCCCTAGGTTCCATTCCTCAGCACCACATAAGAAAAAAGAAAAAAGCTGGAAGTGGCGCTGTGGCTCAAGTGGTAGAGCGCTAGCCTTGAGCTGAAGAGCTGAGGGACAGCGCCCAAGCCCAGAGTTCAGGCTCCACAACAGGACCGCCCCCCCCCCCAAAAATGTACTCATTACCTTGCTCATGTAATTGTAACCACTCTGTACAGTATTTTCACAATAAAAAAATTATTTAAAAAATAAAAATAAAAAATAAAAGGCAAGACGTGCAAAAATAAATTACTTTAGCATAAAAAAATAAGACTGGAGCATGCCAAGCAACGGGCACAAGAACACAGATTAGGCAGATACTCAAGCAGAGGCCATATCTTGAAGGAAACTGAAGAGAATCTGACTATACATGGCACAACAGTTCTTTAACCTGACAAAAACCATCTGTCTATTTAAAATGAGAGAATGACATTAAAGATATAGGGAGAAAGACAACGGGTTAAGAAGTCAAATCCCAGCTTCAGTTCCCATTTCATTGTATCTTAGAAACAAAAAGGGATGTTAATATTCATTGAGCAAGGGTAATGATGAAGCTCTGGACTAGGCATTTGACTTATCCTTTTTTCATCCAATTCAACTTTGACTAGATATATCTCCAATCTCTTACCCTTAGTTTTTAAACCTACAAAATGCAAAGAGTAATAATTAAGATATTTTATCTACATTATGGGCTATGTGTATGAAACAATATGTAAATAGTCTATGTTGGCTGAATATTCATTTAAAAATATTATCAGTATAGCTAAACCCATTTAAGTTGTAGATCTGTATGCTTCTCATCATTTGAATCTCTTATAAGTGTCACCAAACCAAAGAGCTAAAAAGACAATATGACATTCTACAGAGCCAGGAATTCTGATTCCAGTTACAATGAATCTTGTGGCTTAGATTTTTTTTTTCACGTTCCAGCTTTTCTTCGTCATTTCAATTTACAAATTCACCCTTCTAAATCCATTAGAATCATCTTGCAAAGGAAAAGCTCTCCTGTTTCTTGGCAGCCTCTCAGGGCCACTGAACTGTTGCTGTGACATACACCACCTGAGGAGTCATTTCACGCAATCTCATATTACTCAACAGGAAATCAAGATGATTACAGATCTTTGAAAACTTGGGAAGAACTGATAAGCATGATACAACAGTCTAATTAATTAAACTAGCAAAGAGACTTGATGAGCAACATGATCTTATCGTGGAAGAATGTTGCAACTGTTTTACACATTTTAAAAAATCGCATTTGAATAGTTTTACTATTGTTCACTCAGCTTTTAAATGTGTACTATTTCTGCTTAATTATCTGCTGTTCAGAAGTCAAAATATATATAAAGGAATAATGTCTGATATGCATTCTTTGAAGCGCATGAATTTTAAAGTGAATTGCTAAAGTTGTTATGCAATTCATTAAGCTGATTGAAACTGTGAACTCACAAGAGAGGCACTATAATTTATATTTGCAAATAATGACTCTAGCATCCTGGTAGATTTACAGAAGATGCTTGAGTAATCTTACTGAACACAAAATAGCTCAGTTCCAAACAATCCCACCTACATTCACTTTTTTAACACCCGAAGTCCCCAAGCTCATTACTTACCTCTGGTATACAAGCTCCTGTGAAACCAAACAGGCCATTGGCATTGTCACTTTTTTGTATTATTAGTCTTGCTGTGCTGTTTTCTTCAGAAATATAAGCTCCTCCATACACGGAGACTATTTTAAGAATAAATATTTCCTCTCCCTCCTCTTCATTGTCATCTCTTGCAGAAACAATGAATGATTTCTCAGTCTCTCCCTGTCTGAATTCCAGATATCCAGAAACAGGGTGTAAATCATTCTTTGCAGGCATAGCATGAAGTTCGTGAATTTCTTCAAGGGTCAGTTTACGTTCATAGGCCCTCACGTCCTGCATCAGACCTGAAAATCTGTCATTGCCATTCATTCCTGCCCCAATTCTCAGTATTCCAGGACCTGAAAATAGAAAGGAGTTGAAAAGCTAAAATCGTATTCTAAATTACAACTCTAATTCAGAAAACAAGTGATTTTACTGGAAAATATTCTTGATATGTAAACCTTTTTCAAACTTAGCATATAATCAAATAATACTTATCTCTTATTTTTAAAATGAATCTTCAATCATGGATATTTATGATATTTTATCTTATAAGAATTAGTAACTTTGAATGATGATGTTCTTAAAAGTAACTTCTATCAGTCTGCAACAAACATTTCTGTACAGAAAAATCAGAGCTAAACATGAACATACACATAGCCCAAATATCTGTGTGTTTGAGCAAATATTTCTTCTATGACATCTTTAAATTTATTTTCCTATCTGAAAATCGAGTGATTTAATTGAGTTATAATTTTAAAACTCCTTATGAACTTCAAAGCTTGATATCTTAGATACTCATCTTGAATTAATAAGGTGAAAACTCAGGCAGAAAACAAAAACAGTTTTGTGGGCCAAATATATTTCTTTATCCAAACAATCAAAGAATGGCTATACAAACAAAAATAGTTCTTCCAATAAACATCACAAATGTTTGGGACTTTTAAAGAGATAATTATATACACCCAACTATGTTTCAATAGCATCCCTTTTCAGTTTTTCATCCCTTTACCAGTTCTTCTTTTCATCTTCAGTAACTCAGCTGAGATAGTCATATGAGATCTTGGTAGTGATTCTAGGAAATTACATAGCACCTGCCTCCTATCAGTAATCTGAATGGAGTCAGTCCTACAAGTTTTGACCAAAGTAAATCTTGTAGGGCCATCCCCAAGTATTAGGCACATTATTAACTCTTCTACTCATGCCTACTAGAGACTAACTTACTATTCAGCAAACAAGAAACATTTCTTTATTGCAAGTCCACATTGACTGGGTAATCCCGCAATATTTTCTCTCCTATTGACTGATCTGGCAACTACAATGAGGGAAGTTTCTCTATCCATCATAAAATTACATTCTGCTAGGGGCCTAGCCTCCAGGAATAATTTTGCTTCTATGATATACTTATAAAAATATTAACCTTGGTAACCAAAGCTTAAATTCAAGTCTTGGTTTCTCTGAAAATGATGCTGGCTAATTTATATAGTGCTTTTGACCTTTTATTTTCTACCTATACTCTGTAAATCCTATAATCTTTTTTGGCTGGTCGTGGGGCTTGAACTCTGGGCCTGAGCTCTTCAGCTCAAGAGGAGCACTCTACCACTTTGATCCACAAAACTTCCAGTTTTCTAGTGATTAATTGAAGATAAGAGTCTCGCAGACTTTCCTGCTTGGACTAGCTTTGAACCACGATCCTCAGATCTCAGCCTCCTGAGTAGCTAGGATTACAGGAGTGAACCACAGGTGCCCGTCATTCTTAAATATGATTTATGATTCTCCTGATTCCTTTTCAACCTATGTCCATCATCCTCCACTTTCACCAGGACTGAACTAGTAGCAGTTTTCCACCTACAAGAGGCGGATTTACATTTCTGCACCTTTGCTCAATCCTCTACTGAAATACTTTCTCTAGCCCTTTTGCTGTTCACAAGAGGAAGTAAGCATTTCTTCTTCACAATTGGATTTCCTTCCTACATGTTTTGTAGTGATCTATTTAATATCTCTCTCTCCTAAAGCCTATTTCTGACTCCTCAAGAGCAAATATATTATGTGCTTCATTTCTGCACAGAACTTAAGATGGTCTTAGAGGGCACATATCCTTACTAAAAGAAATGTAACTAACACAAAGGTAGAAAATTTAAAATATCTTCTATCTCTTGAAAAAATCAAAATTTCAAGTGAAGATTTAGAACTTTTATACTTCAATGGTCTAGTTGTGGTAATGATACTCACTCACCATCAGTAATAGCTTCTCCTTTGAGACTCTTGATTCCTTTGGGCATTGCATTTCCATCCATGTAAAATTCAATTATACCATCATCCAGGATAATTAGAAGATGAAGCCAAATGCCTTCTTCTAAATATTTCACGACTGTTGTCTTGGCAATGTAGGTAGCATTGGATCCTGAAGTTTTGTAATGAAGGGCAAGTGTCACATGGGATTCATTCGTTTGGATTTTTACCCCATAGTAAATACCCCCATTACCATCATCCTTTGCTAGAATAAATCCACTTGTATTGGCATTGGGCATTACCCAGGCAGAAAACGTAAAGTTTGCAATTGTGCTATTCCTGGAGGGGTGGTATTTTGGATTAACAGTTCCAAATGCACCTTCGAGTCCACTGAAGTACAAAGCATCTGTTCCACTGTGGTGGCGCCGCATGTGTGGCTGTGAAGGCACAGTGCTAGGGAAAATTCCAACCAGTAAAAAATCTATCATTGGTGGCAAACCAGCATTGAATGCACTGGACAGGATTTCCCAGCCTACTCGTACATCACCAAAGATACCCTGTTGCCTCAAAACAGTGAAGTTGGTAATGTATGACAGCTCATCTTCAGAGAGGAAATCCTCAGACACTTCTCTCTCCAAACACTCTGGATCCAAGATGAAAATTCCAAAGGGATCATCATTGAATGGAATCATTACTGTCACCTGAAGGTTGGCTTCTGCTAATTGGCCCCCAGGA